CAAGCATCGTTGGCATGGTTTTCTCTCTCTTTGTCGGCTCATACACTAAATGCAATTAAATAGCGTTTAACAACGCTCGTATGTTCAATTTAAATCTAAAATGCAATGCAATACATTACAGTTGATCATGAGCATCTGAATATGCATGCCTACTGGAATCTGAATTCTTTACTACACATCCATCCTTCTTCAACAGATTCTATTGTTTCCAATAAAATTTTCGCTTTTCAAGAGACAATATCATAAATATTTAGCTTGGACACCGACAAATGAGCATATATTTTTTGTTGTCTCAGAACCAGAGTGCCAGTATGGCAACAAACGGTGAGGTTAAAATGCAGCAATGTATTCAATGTTATTTGTCAATGACAGAAACCTGAGAAGTCAGAAGGCAAAAGTCATTTGGAAAGTTAATTAAATGGTCCTAATCCATGTTTGTAGAGATTATTATCTTGCTAGGGCCTCATGGTTCAAGCTTACAGACCAGAATTTGCCATGTCGCTTTTTTCAATATAGACATTTGCAAACCTTCTCTTAATATATTTGGCTTTTGGATGGATGTAATTTCAGAGTTTGGGAAATTAGTGGCTTTTTTTTAAGAGGGACATGTCTATATGCCTAGTTCAGTGGCTTTGTTTTTGGTGATTGCTAGTAATTGAGAGATGATTGCAACTGATGTCAATATGCCTTGCTGTCAAAAGCAATAGAATGAGCTGCTATGACGTGTTGTTTCTGCTGTATCTTGGTGACACGTTTAGATATTAGGATTAATCAAAATATGTTCTATTAGACATTTCATAGTCACGTTGGTTTATGTTATGATATTATGCTTGTAGGATTCCTGTAGTATCTCTTTGGGTCTTTATTTGGACACACTTTGTACTTAAAATCTTAGACCTTTCTTCATCCATCATATTCTTTTGCTTATAAAAAAGGTAATAAGAAAGCCATGAAAAAGTTTTCCTTAGGCAATCATATATTTCTATAAGATGACAGTACTCTCTTGTTGATTACCATTGAGTAAAAGTTAAAGTTGATACTTCAACACAACTCCTTTTCTCAAGCTGGTTAATGAAAATTATATAGTATACTGGAATTAAAGTGTGTTTAGATTGAATTTGACAATTTCTATCAACTTTAAAGTATGTGTTTGGATGGTATTTATCTATATCAGTTTTCTTTTGCTTTTTTGAAGTGGCTTTGAATGGAATTTGACAATTTTAAATAATTTAAAATTCTCATAATACCAAATTTATTCACTTTTAAATTTTAGTCTCCTAAAATGTCCAAGCTTTAGAAGAAACTGCGTAAGGGTACCTGACCATATATATATATAAAAGGTGAAATAGATGTAATAAGGGCTGTACAAGAAACTACCATGAGATCATACTCTGATAACATTTCTTTTGGTGTGGTGGCTTAAACCATAATAGTAAGTTGTCATAACGCCAATAATCGAGGCATTGGAGAACTAAATAGAAACCAGGATGAAGCACCTGCAAACAAAAGGTTGTATACTGATACCGATATGATTTGTAAGGCCAAGTTAGAAAACTTAGGGCTAGAAGAATTGGTAAGGCCAAGTTAGAAAATTTCACATATGATTATCTATAGGGTGTTTTATAGGGGTTAAAGAGAAAAGGAGAGAAAAAAAATTGTGCATTTACTTGCTTACTGCTGTCATGTTCTTCTGTTTATCGAAGCTTTCCGTGTGGCAGATATGCAGCAGACAGTGTGCAGGCACAGTCCACCATTTAAGTTGTTTTCATTCCGTACCTCAATATGTAGGAAGAGAGAGTCAGTTCCTTATCCAATTTCAACTAAATATTTGTCTGAGAAATATGACGTATGACTTTTTGTTAACATCTTTTCAACAAAATATAACTAAAATGGATGAGATTAAGAAAAGTTATATGTTGTGATATTATGTTAGACTTAATAGCATGACGACAACACACCAAAATTTTCACCTAAAACCCACAACTATGACTCTCACCCAGCTCGACCATCATGAAACCAATCTCCACAACCTGACAATTCCGTTTGTGAATATGATTTCTATGGCCATCCAACTACCATATACCGGCATTTTTGGATAAAAAAATGATTTTATCAAAGTGTCAAAATTTTGAAATTTTACAGAAATAGGTGATTTTTACTTGGATAAACACGAATATCGCGCTACGTATTGATACGACTGTAGTTGTTTGAATTTTTATTTTTTATTATTTTTAAAACATATTTAGTAGCACGTGTTTTGTATTTTTATTTTTCAAACAAATAAATTTTTTTAATATATAATTTATTAAATATTTATTTTTGATTTAATTATTAAATTAATAAAAAATAAAAATATTTAAAGTGCAATATATTATCTTAACCAGTTAGACACGAACATTCAAGACATATTAACGAATAACCTGCTTAAATATGTCACGTTTAAAGATATAATAAAAAAATTTCGATTTTAATATGTAAGATTAATCTAATTTTTGCATTCCTATGGTGCTAGCATTCAACTACTCGCAGAGTCGCAGGTTAGGTTTTAGGCTGTACCATTTTCAGACTCATGTTTTATTATGCTAATTAATGAATGTGTTTACTTTGACATGTTTATTACTACAAAAAGCTATGTTTCAAGTTTGATAAAAGATTTAAACTTAAAATATAATGATGACGTATTGATTTGTTGGGTTATATAATATCTAAGAGATCATATAAGTTTTAACTTTTTCACCAACTATTTTGAAAAAAAGTACAGTAAAGGTTGTAATAAATTACGTTGAGTCCAGGGATGCACAAGTTGCTCATACCACTGCAATAAGAAGGACAATTTACAGAGCAAGATAAAAAAAAAGTTAAAAATCGGCATATATATATATATATATATATATATATATATATATATATATATATATATATATATATGTGTGTGTGTGTGTGTGTGTGTGTGTCTAGGGCTTTTTCATAAATAAACAGCAACGAAAACGACCTATCAACTGCATTTCTTAGATTATAATACTTCATTTTTTTAATGATAGGGTTTTAGAAAAAAAAATATCTATAATTATATATAAAGAGAATTCTTTTTAATTATTCTTTTAGTGTTATCAAAGAAAAAAATAAAAGTGTTTTAATTTAAAGAAAAAATATATTATGATTTATATATTTAACAAATATAAAAAAAAGGAAAAAAATATATATTTAAAAAATAATAAGAGAAAATAAAATAAAATTTAAAATATAATATTTTAATAAAAATAATTATAAAAAAATATGAAAATTATTTTCACTAGTTTATACTATTTTAATTATTTTTTATCAATTAAAAAATTGTTTTTATACTATAATTATTACGGATAGTTTTACAAATTGTTATGTATGATTTCAAAAAGATGAAAAATTAAAATAATAAAAAAGTTATTAGAAATTTATAAGAAAATTTATTAAAAATAATAAAAATTAATATTTTATTTAATATGTGTAAATTTTAAAACAAAAATATTACAAAATAGAAAAAAAAGTATCAATTTGATTATAAATTAAACATATACTGTTAATCACATAGTAATTTTTTTTTAAAAGCTACATATGTAATTTAACATTTTATCTATGAAATTTATTTTTAATTAAATTAAAAACTAATTTCTTAATATAATTTTAATTTATATTTAAAAGTACTCATGGAATGAACTATACAATCGTTACTAAAGTACTTTTCAACCGATTTTATCATTTGAATTAAAATAATTTTGCCATCATTATTTTAAATATTTTTTATACAAAGTAATTAAAGTTTAATATTTATAATCTGGTATATATACTCTCATAATATGATGCAAAATATATGAGAAATTAAAAAAAATGGGTGTGTACCCTAACCATGCTATTTATGAGTAACGGAGTGCGTCAATCTTTGTCTCTTCTTCTGGACTTAAAGCTTGGCCTTCTCCCACAAACCCTATGCCAGTAGTACATCAATTATTACCATTGCCTTTCCATTTTTATTTTTACTTCCTTCAAACCCTTCTTCTATTCCTATGATTTATTTTCTTCATTAATTGGTAACAATTTAACAAAAAACAAAAAGCTTAATTATAGCCAACTTTATTCTAAAATCAAAACAAACCACTTTGTTTTGTTTAAAAATGGTGAAAATTGTTTAATTCATTTCATTTAAGAATAATATTAAAATAATATTATTTTTTTTATCTTTAAGCACTTCTTACCAAAAAAGATAAACAGAGACCGACCGTAGAATATAGTTTAAAAAGAAATAAAGTTTCTACATGATATATATAAACTTTATTTACTCTACTCTCAAAATAAACCTTCATAGTTTAAAATTAAACAACATAGGCATAATAAATTAACAGAGAGAGATCCTAGAAGCACGATAAAAAGTTCTCCTCATCATGACTCAGTTGTCTGTCTTGAAGTTTTCATATTTGAAGAACTCAAGAAAGACTGTGCTTTTGCACTTAGGGCACTTTGGATCCTCCTCTGATAACATGACGTACATGAAGCATCGAGGACAACCTACCAGATCCATGGCCTTTGTTTCTTCACCATCTGCACCATGCACCTTCTCTTCTTCCTCAGTTGGAAACTTTGATGAATACGATACCGAAGACGATGACGATGAACAAGAAAACTCCGGCCATTCACCTGATGATGACGATGAAAACACCGGCGAAGTTGGCCTGCTCGGCACCCTCAATTCCGGCCCTGGACTCTTTCTTTTGCACATATTCTTATAGCTTTTGTAACCAAACTAACCCTTCCTCTAACTCAGACTTTGAAACCTGTTCATTTTCAACAAATAATAATAACCTTAACTTCATTTTCAAAAAAAAAAAAAATTTTCACCAGCGTTTTCAACCTAAGTCAGATCAATTTCTCACTAAACAGACTAATTATAAAGAGCAAACGAGAGAGCGTAACAGTTAGCTAGTCATTTTCATAATACTCATAGTGGTTTGTGTCGTCTGCAGACAAATATGGTGAATGCGGTCATAATTGCAATTGCAGTTGCAGTTGCAGATGTGATGACTCAAGAAACATGATGATGCAATCAAAACTGCGGTCCCAGAAAGACATTAAAACCTAGAATTCACCCATCAAAGCAAGTGAATAGTTTGTGTGAAAAAAAAAAAACAATGATAAAGAGATGTGATCAAAATTAAGTTGAACTAATTGAAACAATTTTTCAAAAGAGATAAAAGCTAGAAGAGTAACAGAATTTAGGTTAGCCAGAAGAGTTGAAATGGGTGTACACTAGAGAGGGACCGTTAATGAGCTCCTAGATCTACATCCAACCTCGTTGTGCTATAGCACAACAAGGGTTTTGTGAGAGTTTAATGTCAACTTCATGAATTTGAGTCATGAATAGAATTTCAGAACGTAGAAAATAACAGTGGCATAAACAAAAGCTGTAGAAGTAAATATGAGAATACCAAAACCAAAAAGAAGCAGTTGGTGGCGGCTAGAACCAGAATTGATGGATATGAGACGCTGGAGGCTTCACAAGCAAATCATCAACCAGAGAAACGGCAGCATACTGTACAAATCTCTGTTGAGAGAACCATCACAGGTCACTATATGTAGAGAGCTTTTGAGGAGTTAACTGGAAAACCAGAATTTATTTCCCTTATAAATGTCTAATTTAATCCTTGCAGACAGTGGGGTTATGTATATGTCTAGAAATTGTCGGAACTCATGGTAATCTCATTTTCTTCTCCTAAATCTTATTACATTAATTCTCAACGTCAAATGGAGTAATTATATACATAAGCTTTTTTTATCTCTTTTTTTATTCTTTTTACCTCAATCAAATCCTGATATTTGGAATATGATCATATCTCACTTAATATTATATTAAATGAGATAAAAATCTTCTCATAAATTAGTTTTATAGAATTGAATTAAATATTTTTTATTTTTATTAATTCATTTATTTAGATAATAAAAATTAAAAATTATTTTTACCTCTAAATTTCTTTTACTAATTTTCTTGGCGGCAGAGATATTGAATAGATAGATGTACGAAGACGATCTTTCATTTACATATTTGGTAATAGTAAGGAGTACAGAGGTGTATGATTGGTTCAGTCTTGTATTAACTAGTTTCCATATTTTACTTTTGTTTAGGTGAGTAACTCCTTTGATTTCATCTTTGCATTTAATTACTGTAGCATTACTATAAAAGGTGCCATGAACAGTTGATAAGTTGATTAGTGGATCAAATTTTTTATTTGTGTGAGTATGTATCTATGGAGAGAGATTATAAGATGATTAAATCTTAGTACTTTATGAAATTTTGAGTGAGTATAACATGAAGGAGAGTGATGTGGTTTAATAGAAGAAATATAATTTGCAGAAGAAGAGTATTTATGTAAAACGGTCCACTGATCCTCGCAGCAGCAGAGCATGGTGATGTTTGTTCCGTACGATGTGGAAATCACTTTGGAGTGTTAGATTTGAATTTAATCACACATTTTAATTCCCTCACCCACTCACCACTCTCTGCAATTTCAGACCACACTCATCACAGATGGTATTCATTTCAGTCACTCAAATCAATGTCTCTCAAACAGTACTATCTTTTTGCAATCATTTTGAGTTCATGCCAAATTATTTGTCTTTCTGTTAATATCTTTATATAAAATTATTTTTTTTATAATTTTTTTTATATTATTATATTGTGCCCGTACGACCTCAAAGTGATTAATAATTCATCAAATTTTGCACTACGAAACAAATTATAAGGCCTTAACAAAAATCCATCACATAAAAATCATAGAAGTTTTGGAAGATAAGTATTGTTTATTGATGCACGCATTAACTTTATCATGATCATGTTTATTGGCATAATGGTTATAATGGTTAGAATGTCTTTTATAAATAACTAATTCTTTTTCTCTAAATTTAGTGGTGGATCTGAGGATTGATTTTGAGATAAATAATATATTATTAATAAATAAATATAAAAAAATAAAAAGATAAAAAATATAAAATTATAAATATATAAATAAATATATTTAATAATCATTAAATTTAAAAAATCAAAATCATAAATACATAAAAAAAATTATTATAAAATTTTAATCATGATGCTCAAATTTCAATAAAATCCATCATGAATAAATGGCGGAAGTCATGAATCAAGAGACAACATATAAGAATATTGCGGTCTATAAAATAAATCTAGAAAAAATCAAATACAAAATTTAGAAAATAACCGAACATAAGTAAATAAAAATTATAAAAAGGGAAGAAAAATACTAAAAAAAATTATTGAGTACTTATTTCTATTAATAATAATTAAAATAAATTATTCCGCCACTTCTAATCATCAATTTAGGTAATGGCTTCATCATTATACTTAAATCTTTTATCCATAAAAAACTGAACTTTATTTATGATTTTTTTCAAATGGATATTATCTTAATGTGGTGAGAATATCTTGTTAAGGAATTTAACAGCTATGTGTATAATGGGAATATGTTTTTAGTTTTAAAATATTTTTCTGGAATGTTTAGAATGTTTTAACTTTTTAAATGTTGTTTTGGATAATAAAACTATTGTTGGAATTAATATCATCGTATATTTCACTTATGGGTCACACACACACACACATACATATATATATATATATATATATATATATATATATATATATATATATATATATAACCAGTTAATATACTTTTTTAAAATGATAATTATATGTTTAAAAACTAAAATTAATATTTTTATTGGTTGTCACCCAACATAAATTGGAAGGGAGTTTTGGTAGCTTAATTCTATTTAAAAGCTTGATTTTAATAGAAGTCATTTATAACAAATTATGTATATCCTGTGGGAAGTCATTAAAAATTTGAAAGGTTTTATATTTTTTTATTTATCTTTAATCTTTATATTTTTAAATGAATAAAATTAAGTTATAAAATGGATAATTTTTTTTTCATGGTTAATTCAGTGATAATTTATATCGTCATAAATTATCGGTAACTAACTTTTTAAACTATATATGATTTAGTTTTTTTTTGTATTTAGATTTAATATTTAGTAAAAAAAATAAATCAAAGTCACAAATTTATAGAAAGATTAAATTCATATTTTTATTTTAAAAAATAATAAACAATTTTTCAAAATAAATAAATTAAAATTAAATTTCACGGAGAAATTATATATAAAAATATTTATATTATAGATAAATGAATTTCCCAAAAATAAATCCCCACAACCTTGATAATCCCTATCCAACTAGAATTAAATAATCTAAAAACACAAAAAACTTATTTGATTAGAAAGATGGTATTCACAAGACACAACTTACAAAAATAAAGAAAAATAAAGGAAACTGAATGAAGATACAATTTGAGAAGTTTTGAAGATGGGAAGGGAAAGATAAGAAAAAGAGACAGTGAGAAAGAATTTCGCTTTAAAATAAATGAATAATTAACAGGTGGAATAAGATATTTTTACAGAAAAGGAAAAAAATAAATTGAAATTCAGTTATGTTTTTTCCAATGTCAAAATTTATAAATAGATTTTGGTTCCAAAAATTGAATTTTGTGTAATTGAGTATATAAATTAATAACTAATTTATTTGAATAATTTTTTTCTAAAAATATTATTTATATAAAAAATTTGTATTCACACTCCGATTGAACTTTATTGGGAAGGTATCTATTTCCAATCGTTTACTTATCCTCGTTTAATTTTTTGCTTTATTATTATTACCTTATGATTTTTCTAATAATAATAGTTTTCAAGGTTGATTTTTGTATAATAATCATCATTATTATTTAAAAAGCAGATGATTTATAAAAAATAAACATTTTTTAACTCTAAACTAATAAAATATTTATTTTTAAGATTCAAATTTGTCAATGTTATTTTTAACATTTATTTACTTGAAAAAAATACAACACAAATATATAAAGCTATCATAGTAATTTGTAGAAATAAAAAAATATTTAAAATTAAACTTTTGTAAAGCATTTTAGTAAAAAAAAATTAAAATATATTTTTCTAAAATAATAATATATTAACTTACATTTAAAGAATCAATAATCTAAGTAATTGAATTCATAAATTTATTTATATTGAAAGAATTTGTTTAAAATTTATCTTAATCTCAGAAATCATTTTAACACTGTCTCAAAAGTTTCACCATAATTTTAAGGCAGCGGATGAAATTTACAAAAAAAAAAAAAAAAAAAAAAAAAGGTATGCATGGTGAGTTGTTACTTGCTTTACTTCAGTCAAACTTATTGAACGCGTTCAACTTGACACAAGAGTTATTCTCTCTCTCTCTCTCTCTCTCTCTCTCTCTCTCTCTCTATATATATATATATATATATATACCCCACATTCACCACTTACACTGAACATACCCGTCCACCGTTTCACTCTCTGTCACGTTCTCCATTTTGGAAGCAACATCGCCAGCCACCACCCATTCTTCCTTCCATATAAAACTTCCCCTTCATGATTTCACCGCAAACAAGACAATCTTTCTTCTTCTTTCTCCTTTTACTTGTGTTGTTGCAGAAGCGATTCCAAATGAATGTGGTTGACCAATATTTTTACGATCCCAACCCGATCTTGATCCGTGAGGTTTGGGCCTACAATCTTGAATACGAATTCCACATCCTCCGCCATATAATCGACGATTACCCTTTCATTTCCATGGACACCGAGTTCCCCGGTTTTCTTTACAGTACCAATTCGAAGGCTTCCTCAAACACCACCAACGGAAAAGTGGAACCCTCCCAGAACTACGGCTGCCTCAAGTCCAACGTTGATGTCCTCGATATTATCCAGGTTGGTCTCACGCTTTCCGATGCAAACGGTAACCTCCCTCACCTTGGGACTAGTAAAAAATTTATTTGGGAGTTTAATTTTCGGGATTTCGACGTGGAGAAAGACCCTCACTCGCCTTCTTCCATCGCTCTCCTCCGCCGTCAAGGGATCGACTTCAGCCGCAATGCGGCGGAGGGCATCGACTCCTTGCTGTTCGCAGAATTGATGATGTCGTCGGGGTTGGTATGCAATGAGGAGGTGAGTTGGGTGACGTTCCACGGCTCGTACGATTTCGGGTATTTGGTCAAGATTCTGACCCGACAAAGTTTGCCCCACGGGGTAAAGGATTTCTTGGAAACGTTGAAGGCGTTTTTTGGAGATAACATTTACGACCTCAAGCACATGATACGGTTCTTTGACGGTCTTTATGGCGGTTTGGACCGGCTTGCGGAAACCCTCAAATTGAACCGAGTCGTTGGGAGGTGCCACCAAGCCGGCTCGGATAGCTTGCTGACCTGGCATATATTTGAGAAAGCGACGAATATTTATTGTAGAAATGAAGGGCCTAAGAAATATGCAGGAGTTTTGTATGGATTAGAACTTTCATGTAGTTAGAAATTCCAAATTAAAAAAAAAACATTTATATAAATAAATATTTCATTCTTTATTTCATTTGCTGGATAAATTAATTATAATTCCAGAAACTGCCAAACCCAACCATGATTGAAGAAATTGAATTTCTTTTCTCTTGGAATTTGAAACGAGGAGCGTTCTGTTTTTCGCATAACTCACATTTTCCAAGATCTAGAATAATCCACTTCAAATTATAGTAACGGTACCATTATTAATTTTAGAATCATGATTTTAATAAAAACGTGTGAACTTTTTATGCCCTTGTCGTATAAGAAAAATTAGTTTTATAAAATGATTGTAATAATTAAAATGACAGTAGCAAAGATGAGTCCATAAATAGGAGGAGGAGGATTAAAATTTGTCTTTTGTGATGACACCTGCCCTAATATTTTCAAATGGGGTACAAACTGTGGACCTCTTGCAGGTTTTATTATGCAATCAATGTCCTACATTCCTTTTTGTTTTATTTTCTTCGTATCTTTTCCCAAATTGAACTAAACAAAATCGTACCAGTCCTCCTTTTTCATAATTTGTTTTTAATTTAACATAAATTCTAAACCACTCTTAATTTACCTTTGTTTGTTCAACTTATCTTTTTACCGTTAATTATATAACTTCTAAAGAAAAACTGCATAGCTATATTATAGGGTAAAAAAACTGACTAATTCAGTTTATTTGGATTCCACCACTCACCAACTCACAATAAATTAAAGTAAAACGGTTAAAAAAAATAATTATTTATTTACTCTAAATTTTATTTGATTAGTATTGTTTTTCTTAGTATTGGATAAATTAAAATTATATAATAAACTAGTTATAAAGATAACTACATAATTAATTTTTATATGAAAATTAAAATTAAAAACAAAACGTAAAACCTTTTTGCGTGTGTAAACACTATAGGAATTTTAAACTTAATTTTTTAATAAATAAATTATTTTTAAAAAATGGGTTGATGAATTGGCCTACCACACGTATCCAATTTTCAAATATCTCTCTCAGTTACAAATATAAATAATCTTATATAATATTAATATTAGAAAAAAATATTGCATAATTTTGGATCAATTTTTTTCTTGAATTTTTCTGGCTTTACATAATAAATTAAAAAACTGTAGCATCGATCATAAATGCATTAAATAATGCATTAAATGAATTATGGCGTCATATAATTCAGTGAGAGCTTTACACTATTAGAAACAAAAATGCATCAAATTATGTTATTAAAAGAAAAAAAAAACGATTACATTGATTTCCCTTCTTTCTCGTATATACAACTAATATAATCTCAAATATCACACGTCACCGACTCTTTCGAATGATCTGGTCCCTGCGACGCGGTTTAGGAGCACGCACCACCGCCGCCGCCGCCGCCGTTGATATTCTTCTTCGGGAATGCTTCTTCGCAGATCTCGACGAAGGCTTGAACGATGACTTGGTGGTGGCAGGCGGCGTTAAGACGGAGGAAGCATTCGAGAAGTTGTTGAAGATCCGATTTCGTGTAGATCTCTCTCTCGAAGATCATTTGGAGCATGGAGTGTCGAAAATCCTTGTACGGATCGTTTGATTCCTTCTCAACGGCCACACTGTCAACGAGCTTTGGGTTTGGGTTTGGCATGCTCTTGTTGGCGTTTTGATGGTTTGTGTCGCGTTGGGAGATGGTGGTGGGAGTGAAGAGTTGGTCGTCGTCGGAAGTAGTGGATGAATTGATGCTGCTAGGGCTTGTGTTTTGGTCAATTGGGATTGCGTGTTTTGGGGAGGGTTGGTGTACGTCAGAGGGCTTAGGTTTGCTACATCCACATCCTCCATTTGCTTTGAATAGGGTTCTCATAAACCTTCTCTTGTTGGAAGACATTAGAGAATTAGAATTAACAACAACCACTCCTTCATACAGAGAGAAATTACTCACTAATTGTGATTATGTTACAGTAATCGTTATGATTTTGCTTCTAACAAGATACTTGAAAGGAGAACAAGGGAATGAAAGATGGAATTGGGTTGTGGGTTTGAGTTTGGGAAGAAAGGGTTTATTTAGGTTAATGTTGATAATGTCATTTTAATCACAACAAACTCCTCACTGCCTCTTTTTTTTTTTTTTTAATTATTTTTCTTGGATATTTGACTATCACTAATTCAAATCAACAAAGAAAAAAAATCTTTGGTTTATATTTTTAGGTTATTTATCTTCTATCTTTATCCAATCATTTTTTTCCCTTTATTTTAAGCTTATAAGGAATAATTAAAAACATGATCATTATTTTAAATTATTGATAATTTATAGTTTTTATAAAAGGAATGAAATTTAATTTAAAGATATATTGATAGATTCTAATATATAGAAAGTTTAGATAATTAAATATATACCTTTATAGTGGTTGAAGATGATTAAAAGAAATTTATTTTATTTCTTAACTAATTTGTAGTGTTTGAAATTAAATTTCATAAACAAAATATTATAATTGAAACAGTAGAGATTGGAGGTTTTGTTTTTCTAATTTATATATTATATTTTAAATAAGAGTATCGTCAATAAAAATTATATAATACACTCAAGGTTTAAATTTATTATTACAAGATATCGTCAATAAAAGATGCAAAAAATAAATAAATAAAAAGTCTGGTGGATGCAGCTATATTTTAGATTGCGTACATAATTCAAAAATCTTGATATTATGGTTCAAATCATAGTCACTGATGTTTGATTACAACATTAATAATATTTAAAAGCATTTTCTTTTTAACAAGATTTGTTTTTATCATAAGTTAAATATTAATTATAATTATTTTTAATTAATTATCCAATTAATCATAATCTTTAAAAAAACATTAATTCTTTTATTAATTATGTTACTCTATAATCTTTTTTCTCCATGAATGACGTGTACTCTATGAGTTTATTGATAGAGTCAGGAGCAGTTCTTAACATCATTAAACATGTTTGTTTTGTCCGTGTAAAAGATAATAAATAAATTATTGATATATTTGTTTTAAATGTATACGTTAATTAAAACGTTACACACTATTAAACTTAATATATATATATATATATATATATATATATATATAATTTTATTTTCAAGTAAAAAATGCACTACTATTAAAAGATTATTATTATTATTATTATTATTATTATTTAGCTCTACAGAATGCTCTTCTGACTCACGTTTTATCTTCTACATGAAAAAAATGTGTTTAATGAGGTCAAAATTTGTTTCAAATAGTTAATCAATAAACCCATAGAACATATGTAATTTATTGGAAGAGAAATTAGACATTAAAAAGAGATTATGTTTTCAAGAAATAAAAATTAATCAGATAACTCATTAAAAGGAATTATAATTAACCTTTGAAGTGTTTAGGTTTGCATAGAAAAACCCTTTGAATAATGTTAAATTAAAGAAAGTAAAAGAACTTTAAATATTACTCAGCATTTTGTATCTGATGTACCTACCATATTCAAAATAAGACCCAATCGGTTAATTAAATAAAAAATTGATCTAAAAATCGGTTTATTATTTTAAAATAATTAGATTTTAATTAAACTAAAATAAAATTAGAAAAAACGAGAAAAAACTGATAAAATTTAAAAAGTCGATTGAATATTTTGGTCAAATCAATTTTTGTAAAAGAATATTTTAGACAAAAAAATTTAATATAATTTTTTTTATAAAAAATATAATATATTTTATCTTTTTTTTATCTCAATCAATTTTAAATAATAATTATTTTATTTTAATAACTATCTATTTTATATTCTCTAATATATTTTATATTTATAATTTTCATTATAATTTACATAATAATAACGGTAATCTGTATATATATATATATATATATATATATATATATATATATATTTTTTTTTAATTTATCTTCGTTATAATTTACGTAATCTGTATATTTTTTTAAAATATTATTATTAATAAAATTTGTATGTGTTAGACTATAAAAATATTATTTCATTAAATTCAATTAAACTAATTCCACTTAAATCTTTAATTTATAAATTCATATTTTCACCCAATTAATAGCTGTCAGGTTTTAAAAAAAACGTTAAACATTAGTTTAACGTGAAGTGAATAATAATATTTAAAAGCATTTTCTCTTTCAATAATATAAAATGTTTTGTTTTTTTAATTGAAAGGGCCAATTTGAATGACCATACGAACGAGACATGATCCAATGAAACAATGAAACGGGCTTATGCAGAATAGTTAGGAGAGGCTTATTACCTGGAGGCCCATATATGAAAGCAGCACTACACTCGAAAAGGAAAATAACCAAAACCAAATAAAGAAATAAATAGGGATATGGAAAACATAGGTGGGTAAAAAATTTCTTTAGAAGGTACACTTTTCATAGTGTCCAAGTTTTGTTTTCTTTGGCCCACTTTTTTCTCTTGTGTCTCAGATGCTGTTGTGGATTTAGCAGTGATGACAAACAGATGGAGGCCAAACAGATGAAGCTTCTCAGACTGTGATTACACCAAAACAAAAAACAAGACTCTGGTTTTTCTCAATACCCATTGAACATCATGAGGCAACAACCCAATTCTCATGCTCCCTGTTCAATTCCACTTGCCACTCCTTTTCCTTTGCAATATCTATCTCCTTCGCTTTATTCCTCTCAACATTTCACTCACTTCAACCTTTCAAAGCCCAATAATTTGGTGTCTTCAATACTATAATATTCAAGAGTAGGTAAGTGGGAGAAAACATGGACCAAATTGAGAGAGTTCTAAACTTCAAAGTAGTTCCAACCATGCACCAAAAACTCATCTTATCAAACATATTTGAATATACCCAATACAAAAAGGTGAGACCTTTTAGAATCTGCAGGAACTAACTTTCTGTAAAGCTTCAAGTAAAAGAAACCACCACGAATATATCTATCCAAACCCAAAATCATTTGCATTTAATTATGTCTGGCACCAAGAATGACTTCAAAAATCATTCAAAAAGTGACCTATGTATGCTCTATGATATCCGTGTGTCTCGTACGTGGTCCACATAGCTCAACACCTACGCCTACAATTTAGTTACTCTTGCCACATTAGTTCTCTCTGTTCCTGTTCGTGTCCCATTTCAGAGAGTATAATCACAGTAACAATGATCACAAGAACAGATACCACAATACAACGAATGAGAAAATTCAATCATCAAAACGTAATTTTTGCAGGAAATTACGTAATCATTGTACTCTCGCCGTAGTAGTTCGGATAGATTATTAAGCTAAAATTTTCAAAATTATTTCTCTGAAAATAAAAGGTTGGAATGACGTCATGCCTTGTTGGTAACGAAGAAGATGATCTTAGAATACATGCGAGCGCATTGTCATAGAAAAGGATTACACCAATTCCATCAGATTCGAGTCAATTTACGTTACACATGTTTCTTCTATATGGAAATGCGTGACAAAGACAAAGAAGGAAAAAGGACACTTAAAGAAGTTTAAATTAACTTAATATATTATTATTTGTTTACTTTATATAGTAAAAAAATAAATTTTAAGCTTTTTTTAATGCTTTGGACATCTATATGTCACTAAAATATATTGATGGAAAAGTAGATCTGATTTCTCAATTTGAGTCGAAAATCAAAATGGCATGTCAAAATTAATCAAAGTCGTGACACATGCATGAATCAGAGCAGTGAACAACCAAAACTATCATTTTCAACTATTCTGTTCTCCTTCCCTTTCTTCTTCAGATTTACAGTTACATCTTCCACCGTCGTTGACATCTATTATCATGAAAAGAAATGCGTACCTAAAATCAAATAAAAATTTTGTTTTTCTGCTGTTTTTGTGAGAATTTTTAAAAAAATTACGTTCAAAGTTAAATTATATGATAACCATGCATGGAGTCGATCTATGACGAACAAAAATTCTTGTAGAAATTAACGCAATCCTTTTCATATATGTATAAAACTTTAGAAAACTTTATCTTAAAGAAAAAAGAGAAGATATTTAAGAAGAGGGTGGTTGAGACTAATTGAGAGAAAGAACTATGACAAGTTCACGACTATAGCAATGAAAGCAAATTACTTTGCTTTCGTATTACTACTAAATAATAAATAATAAACTAAACATCAACAATGCAACTTTGGAAAAGCTGAAACTTCACCGCCGGAGCGGCTACTCCGATGGCGTCATCGGCGTCGCCGGCGAGCCTGATATACGCGGGGCAGTTCACGTTAATATGGTACCTTCCGGAGACCCAAGTCCCGACTTTCCACTTGACTCTGCCATTGACTTTGACGTTGACCAGCACTCCTCCGGAGGTTTTGTCCTGCTGGAGAATCTCGAGCATGAAGGGGGAGACGGGGACGGCGGTGCCGTAGAGGAAGGGAGACCATACGGCGGTGTCGCGGTGGCCCTGGTAGGTGGGGGGGAGGTCGGTGGCGAGGGAGACTTGCTGACCGCGGTAGGAGGCGTAGGCGTCGAGTTTGGTGTAGTAGACGCCGATGCGGTTGTTGGGGTTGAAGGCGGAGAGGGTGACCTGCATGGTGAGGGTGAGGGTGTTGGGTGTGGGGACGGTGGGGGAGGGGGTGGCGCCGGTGGAGGAGAGGTTGAAGGCGTAGACGGTGGCGTCTTGGAGGACGAACCGCGGTTTGGTCGGGCGGAGGATGATCCAGATGAGGAAGATTATAAGGAGGATGAGGAGGATGAAGCCGAGGATGGCCGCGAATACGCGGCGGAGGAGCTGCCGGCGCTCCTCGTCGTGGTGGCCGCAGTCCTTGGTCATGGTGGCGTGGGAACGAGTGTGGGTTATACGCAGATGTGCGTGTTCCTTTTGCTTGAAGTGGATTCACTCTGAAGAGAATGTTTCATAAAGGTGCATTATATAGGCACGACAATAATTCAAGGGGTGCCACTAATAATAATAATAATAATAATAATAATAAGTGAGAAAAAGCAAAGAAACTTGTGAGATCGTGGTTTTGATTCATAAAATAGAAATGGTGTTTTATGATGGATTAAAAGAAAGAGAGATGTTAACACATGCTAATATGTGTCAAACCTTGTAGTACACGGGAAGTTCAGTCAATTTTAATGTAAAATCAAATTAAAGTGATATTTATTATTAGTGAAATATAAATTTTGATTAAAGAATAATAATAAAATAATTAAATTATAATATATGCAGATTTTATTATATTTACTTCGGACAGTTCGTACTTATAATATTTAGATGTGCCTGTTTTACAGTGTTTGTAATTATGTATGATAAGTAAATATTCAGATTAAAATAAACTTAATGACAATGTCTGATTAAACATTGTTAATGTTGTAGTATTAATGATGAAACGTGAGCGTAGAAGTATAAAAAAACCCTACTATTAGTTGCATTTGGTTTTTAACCCTAAAATACAGGTCAAACCCTATAATTTTTTAATTTTAATTTTAATATATAAATATTTTTTTAAAACAACACAACGGGTAATATGTTCCGTTTCTAACCGTCTAATTAACGAGTTAGGCAAAATAGAATAAAATAAGTTACCAAACTAAATCTAATACATTTTATCCATAATTTATAATAGTACAATCTCTACTTAATTTTAATTTTTTAACCACCATTCTCCTTCGACCATTTTGAAAAAGAATAATGAAGGGAACATTACGCGTGTACAAAAAGATTTGAATTTTGTTCTTGGTAGAAATTACTTTGAAATTACAAATTTACTTCTTGTCCATGAAAGCTCATACAGTTTTACCTTTCTTTCCAGATTTTGAACTTTTTTCCACACTTTCTCCTCACCGTGTTAACAAATTTCTAAGTACATATTAAGAAGAGTTTTAAAAACATGATGAATTCTTTTTTAAAAAAAATAATCCAAGCTATAATAATTCCACTGGTTTTTCCAAAATTCCAACACTACAACATATAATATATAATAAGTACATAAACTCTGATTATGTTTGGGTAAAAATATATTTTCTCTAAAAAAATTATTGTCGCCAAGATTTATATTTCGAAAAGTTATTATTTTAGGGGGATAAATCTTTGACTCCAGAGCACTAGTGTTTCTTTAGCCTATTTTTCCTACGTTCGGACACTGCGATATGTGAGAATTATTCTTCATTGACTTGGACTCTTGAACACAAGTCTGAGTCTGATGAATATTTACAAGTAATAATATATTTTCAGTTTTTTTTTTTTTTTAATTTATCAACAATCATGAAGGCGTATTTATGCTGTTTAAATTTTTAAATATGTATATTTTTGGAGCTAATTTTTTGAATATATAGCTACAAGACAAAGAATTAATTATTATAATACCTACTGCCACAAACTTATGTTAATTTGTTAAGTAAACATTATTTCAAGGAAGAAAGTGAGTTGATGCATAACTGAACTACAAATGCAATGGGATGTGAATCAAATTAAGTAAAGGATCATCATTAGGGATCCCAAAGTCATAAAATTTGGCAATTTAGTATATGAAAATCCCTCTGTCATCTTCATCTTCATATTCATATTTTGTCTTGACATAAATATAAATAAACATATTTGGGAAGTTTGAAAAATCAACTATACCTGTGATGGGGTAACTAGAATCTCTAGATTTTGGACAAAATCAAATTAATTGGGTTGAAGAGAATTTGTAGTTCTTGTCCTCGAGAAAGGAGATATAAAGAAATGAAGAAACTTCTTTTCTGGGGAATACAACCAACACATTCCCACACCCCACCAACAATTTATTAAAAGCCAAGCATTGGATCCAGAGCTGAGTTAGTAGGGGCATTATTGTCACATAATAAAAATATCTAATTTTGAATTTATTATTATAAAATTCAGTAAACATATTGGATATTAATGCATTAACCATGATGATATAAAAATCAATATATAAACTATTTTCTTTAAATTCAAAGACTAAATCGCCACCTTAAGCTTGTTGCATAAACATAGAAAGTAAAATAAAGTGTAAGTAGGTAGTACTGCATAAAAGATTGGTATGGCTAGGAGGATAAAACACTTATTTGGAAGGTAATGTAAGTGAAAAGTCTAATCATGTGTCTAAGGTATTTTCGAAGAAGCCAGAAAGTTTGATAAAGTTGACTCTTATGTAACCACTTCCCATTGCTTTTGGATTTTGAACTTTTTATAATCTTTGAAATGCATGAAAGAATTATGAAACCACTTTTGTGAAGAAGAGCTTTCATCAGATTACTTTGCCTACATAAGTAATCAGCAAGTAAAGCAATTGGTTAAGTGCCTCCACTGATTATCTGTTACTACAATATCATATTCACATTGACTGTTACAGAACATGTTCCTCTATCTCATTTTTTCTTTAATTATCCATTTTTGCTTGGACATTACAAAGGGTTAAGACAAGGTCAAATCAATGGATGCTCATTGAAATATGCAGTCACATTCAAGTCCAAACCAATGTCACTGGTAATAGGAAGGGTAGCCAGTGGAGGACATGCAGATACAGATAGAGTAGTGCAGCCTTTTCAATGGATGGTAGTAATATTGTAGGCTTAAAGGGGTGCCTTTTTCCAACACATGATGAATGAAAGCGTGAAACTCAAACTGTTCTGCTTTTTGAGATTGTATGTAGTGGATACTCTAATTCTATTATTAACTTCATATTTAGTCCCTAACAAACTTTGATTAGATAGATGTAGACAGAAAAACCAACTTGTAGGACCATGACAACCATATGAGGCATAATCCTTAGATTAGATTTGTGATGTTATATTTTTACTGTGATTATTATTATTATGATGATGATGATGAGAATATTATTTGAAGGTGGTTGGAGGTGGGTGATGGATGAGTTTGGGACAGCAACCGCTTAGTCCCAGATTTGAGATTTGCCTTATCTTTCAAGGCAGACATGTAGGGCTTTTGAAATTTTTGTACGCAAATCATGTCCTCCTAATGCATAGCCACTTTCTGGTCACTTTCTCCATCACTCGTTCATTTCCTCACTTTCTCTATTTTCATTTTCATGATATCATGCTCCATTGGTCGTTAACTTTACTATACGTGACTTCAAGTTTAGAGTCACAATCTTCAATGGAGCATTGCATAAAATCACTGGGTGTTTGAGGAAGACTTTGAGAATTTTAACACACCATTTCTTTTCTGTTTACTCTCTTGGTCTTCCATCTCATGTGTCACGTCACAAACATATAAAACGAGAATTTTCATCAGCAGTATGCAACAATTTATCAGAAAATTGTAAATTTTCATATTATTCTATGAAATTATCAAAAGTAATTTTAATACAAAAAACAGGTGTATGACATTAAAACCAATCCATTAATTTTTAATAAGTGGGTCCAAGAAGTCAGGGTATTTCCTCTAGATTTTATTGTCATATTATCTTCAACTGAGGAATCTGAAGAAGGATATAAAGTGCGAGTAGAATTTTCTTTGAACCTTCGGTTTGTATATCCATTATATAGAAAGAAGATTCTATTACATCCCCTTTCCTATCTTTGTATTCCCACCACATTTTGGCACTTTAAAAAAAAAATTAAAAAAAATACAATACATTGTTATGCATAGTCAATGAAAGGATGACGGTATTTAAAAAAACATAAAAAAGGTGTTTAAAAAGGAGAGGTGCCAAAGCCCTATATCAAGATGGGATACATGGAGCCCCACTCAAGTACGGACTGGGCCCATAATGGGGCGTGTGGGAAATGCAAACCTGTCGTACATAGGCCCATAAGTACGTGACCACTAACTCAGTTGGTCCAAAACTCGTACAAAGGGAGGCCACTAACTCATCCTTGTTATACTCCGGCCCAAACAACTAAACTATGATCACGCTCATAACAATCATTTAAACATTAGGCTCAAAAAGATAATATTATGTATTGCCATTTCTGAATTAGGAAGTAATCTGAAAAGAGGGTTTAGATATCAAATTATCAAATTAACCTCTCCCTGATGAAAGAGCCGGAAGGAGTGTGCAAGCTGATATTGTTAATTTGTTATATAAATAATACCAGATAAAAATGGACCAAAATTATTTGGAACAAACAAAAATGTAGAAGTAATATCGGAATAAAGTAAAGGCAATCACATGATATCACTTTATGGATGAAAGATTCCAATAGCCTACACTAAAAAGCAGAGGAAAAGCATTTGAAAAAGAGAAATTAAGGAACTTCGATCCATGACCAGCACCTTAGGAACAAACCAAAACTTACGCGCGTATACATGATACGACATAATGAATTAAGAGGCCAACCCTGTTTGTATTATTCCAGTTTACCTATTAATGTGGACTAACATGCATGTGCAGTAACCATTCATCTGTACTGATAAATAAATGAGTCAAACGCCCCTTCCTCTCCCAACAAAAAGTAGTATGGGGAAGCCAATCACTACCAAAATTTGCAAGTCTTCACAAGACATTCAATAATTGCATGAAGCCACCTATTGGCTTGTTTAACATTTCACTTCATTTGCAATTTTCTAATCCCCACTTCCTAACACGTAAACCACAAACAGGTTTTTTTAGTGTTACGTAAATTGTAGACAACGGTGAACAGAATATTCACACGAGTGTCTCAGTAGAGAAAACTATAGAAATGTTACAAGGGCCCCAGTTCACGCTATAATATAGTATAAGTACTTTGGAACTAGATGCGCAAATACAGTTCATGACAGGGTAGTTAGATTTTACATAAAAATGAGATTTCATTTTTCATTTGTATGTATTTAGTTTGCTTCAAGTTCAATTTGTACCAACACGAGATTGATCTCCCTTTTTAACTCTATCATACCACAGAACCAAATTAGAAATAAACAGACACAATTGACATTCATATCATTAGATAAATTTTAATGCCAACAGGTTAATGAATAACTTTTATAGTACTAAATAAACCAAAAACATACCCAAAAAAAAGCTCCATTGTTGCCCTGTCCTCCTTTTTAAGTAGACAACAGCCTGTACCACTTGCATCCCGGATGCAACAAAGTGAAATGACAACCCAAGTCCTACATGCCGTGCCAATTCAAGCACGTTTCTAGACTTCAGTAAATGACTAGCTAGCCTGCAACTTGGAACAACTGTCCTGATAAATGCTTTCTAGATTTTATTTTTTTTAATGAATATGATATTTTTTACTATGTTAATTTATTAATAAGAATACAGACGGCAAGGAAACAGCAAATTTGCCTCATTTAAACAAGTACTCAACGAAGAATAGGTCTTAGATATGGACGTTGGATACTCAGAAACACTTGCAAACCCCTAACCCAAGTTGTAGATTAATTATTATATGATGATCAATATACTAGGTATGAAAATGTAACAGAATAAGATTAAAAAAACATGGAGTTTTGTTTCTTTCAGAATATATTACTGTGACAAATTGCATTAGTCATCATAATATCATCAACCACCATCTAGAAAACAGTATAAAAGAACAGACAAACCAGAACTAGAAAAAAAAAAAAGAAGAAGATAAGCTTCTATTGCTAGTCATAACCGAATGACCACATAGACGAGCATTCTGTAGACTCCCCTACTCAAAATGCTCAATGTTGCACCAATTCAAAGAATACTAGATGACGCACATGTTTTCAATTTACCAACGTTAAAGAAGTTTGACTGCTCGAATGAAACTGTTAAGTTTTTGTCCAAGATTATCAGTTTGACAATTGAAAAGTCTATGTCGTCATAGCTAGATATTTTCAACTATTAAAGCGAAACAACTTAAAAATCATGCTTCAGTAGGACAATTGACAGACACAGAGTAATTTTGGAATTAGTATCTACACAAAACCAGAGTCGAGTAAGGGTTTGCAAATGAATAAATGAATAGATGAGTAAGAAGCCAATGAATGCTTTGTTACAATCTGAATAAACTCATCAACAGAAAAATACAATCAAAAGCATCCGGCAGCAGTAGTTAGTCCTATTCTTGTTTTATGTATGCAAAAAACTCCATTCATTTCTGTTGTGATTTTTAAAAAAATACAAACAACAAAAACAAAGCCTTTCCTTATTTAGCCGGATTAAAGACCAAAGTTTCGGAAATGTGTTTTAAAAATCAACTTGATTAATTCATTTGAAACAAACTTGATTAATGCAGTAGAACAAAGACCAGTCACATAATGAGTCAATGATATCCAAATAATTATCATTATCTACCTCCAATTATCGTACAGTTGCAAACTTCCACCGACAAAGAGTTTCAAATCTCCACTGATTTGAAGCCAGGTGTTCTATAAAGCCAGGCAAATAACACAAGGTGTGATGTGATGATAACTATACACAGTCAAATACTACCAACAAAATAGTCCATTCAAAACCTACACCAAATAACATAAGCATAAACCGTTGCAAGTATCAATTACCCAGAATCAGAAAACCAACCCTCCAAATCTAACCTAGGGATTTTTCCAAAACATCACCCCGCCCAAAGAATTCACGTCCAAACCTGACATTCCCGATCTCCACCGACCAATTCGCCGGAAGTGGCATTCGAGGAAACACCAACAGGAACTTTCCGGCAGAGAACCTTGAGGAAGCGCGTCCGGAACCTCCAGGAACCGGAGCGGAAGGAGGTCGAGGCGACAACCTGGATGTCAAAGAGAACGGAATTTGAGCTTCGTTCGGCGTTGAGATCGTTGATGAGGGAGGGTTGGAGGTAGGTGCCAGCGGCGACGAGAGTAGTATTGATGGTGGTCTCAGACTTGGTGTCCTGTTTGAAGGGGACGAGCTGGGACTCGGCGATGTTGATGATGCGGTAGAAGAGGGCGGAGTGGATGGAGTTGTAGGTGATGGTCATCTTCTTGTTGCCGTTGCGAACGAGGAAGGCGACGTGCCACGTGGCGGAGAGGGATTGCGCGGTGGTGGAGAGGTTGGTGAGGGAGAGGGTGTGGATGGTGAAGTGAGGGAGTGAAGGGCGAAGGACGAGCCACGTGACGATGAGGATGACGCCAAAGATGACGGCGAGGCAAATCATAGTGGCGAAGAAGGCGCGGAAGAAGGAGCGGGAGGCGTAGGAGCGGGGAGGTGGGTAATTGGGGTTGTAATATTGGGGTTGGGGGTAGGGAGGGGGAGCGGCGGCATAAGGATATGCGGTGGCGGGCGGCGGATGTTGGCCGCCGTTTGGGTGGTGGAAGGGCGGAGCGGGGTAGCCGGTGGCGGGGCGAGAAGGGTCTTGCATAACGGAACCGAGCAGAGTAAAGCGGTGTGAAGTGAGTGACGCAGTGAACGGGAAGAAAGAAGAAACGTTGCGGTGTTTGGTGGGATTTGTGCGAGTCGCTTTTACAACACTTTAGTTTTGGCTTTTTATAAAGAAAAAACGGTTTTTTTTTTCCTCTGTTGCATAAAAAGGAGAGGTTCCGAGTCATTCAAATTCATTCGTTCAAACATCGTTTTCAAACCAAGTTTAAGGATTAAAAATATATTCTTTTCATTTTTAGTTAATAGTTTACAGTTTTAAATATTTATTTAGTAATTAGATTGACTTTATTTTTATCTCCTAACTTAAAAAAGTTTTTTTTTAGTTTCTTGTAATTCGCTCTTTTGAAAGAAGATTCTCTCCTTTTATTAAAAGAAAAAAAAAGTATATAAGGATGAATGGTTAGATTTCTAAACTTTCCACTCATATATTATGATTATTATTTATTAAAGAAAAGGATCATGTTTTTCACTTTTGTTTACCAATTTATGACACACACAAAAAAATTCTTTTAGATTATGAAAAAATAATTTAAATTTAAGAAATTAGAAAAAAAAGTTATGTAAATTTCAGGGGTTCGAAAGATAATGAACATCAAAACTAATGAAACCTTGTCAAGTTATCGTAACTTTAACGCGCTATCAATTTTAGAATTATCCGTAAACGTCAATAGATTATTTTTTTATACAATATTTTTGAAACTCTATCGATTTTTCTTTCTAGTTGTATTATATTTTCATTATATATTCCTTAATTGAATTTATTTGTTTTTTATTTTATATTTTTAATAGTTTTATCTTTATATATATATATAATTTTCTTTTTCTAATATTTGACATTAAACATTAGTTGATATAATTTTATTATTCATATGTAATTTGACTATTAAATGTTAGAACAGGACAACACCTTCAAGCAAGTAAAACTAGATGAATACTGAGATAGAGAAAACAAAAGATAGAATTTTCTCATCTATCAAAGAAATGAATACAAGGTATCTATACTGTCAAATGATAAAAACCGTTATAAGTTTTGATTACTATTTAACACTTCCTCCTAATCAAAGAATCTATACACATAAGTCTCATAAGTTCTCTAAGCTTCTCAAATATCTGACGTTTAAGTGACTTGATAAAGTCATCAACCACTTGATCCTCGGTAATGCAATGCATCAACTCAATTCTTCCTCTACTCACTTGGTCTCTCAAGAAATAGAATTTGGTTTCAATGTGTTTACTCCTACCATGGAAAATAGGATTCTCAGACAACACATATAGCAGATTTGTTGTCTACAAACAATTGTATAGGCTTCACGTACTCCAGCTTCAATTCATTTAGCAAATTCTCCATCCACAACCACTGACATGTAGCTTCTGCAGCAGCAATATACTCAGCTTCACATGAAGAGAGTGTCACCACATTTTGTTTCTTAGAACACCAAGAAACTGGTGCATTCATAAGTTTGAACAAATAACTGTAGGTACTCTTCCTTTCTACCTTATCACCACACCAGTCAGAATCTGACCAAGCTTCCAACACATTTTCATCTTCACTGTGTTCTGCAGACCTTTTCGGAAAGAACAACCCAAGGCCAGTTGTTCCTTTTATATACCTTAGTATATGTTTTGCTGCTGCCATGTGTGATAATCTTGGACTGTTCATGAACCTGCTAATTAACCCAACACCGTAATATATATATGGCCTGCTATTGCATAAGTATCTTAATGATCCAGTGATTTGTCTATACAACACTGCATTAACTTCTTCTTCTTCAATTTCTTCAGTCAACCTCAAATTTACCATGACTGGTATAGGTACTGGATTACATTCTGACATGTTGAACTTCTTTAAAACCTCATTCACATACTTCTTCTGATGCATCAGAATTCCATGTGATGTATGAATAAATTCAAGACCCAAAAAGTAGTTGAGAATACCTAAATCTATCATATCAAATGTAGCTTTCATCTCTGATTTGAACTTCTCAATTTTTTGTTGTTTGTCTCCTGTTACAAGCAAGTCATCTATATAAAGACAAATCAGCAACACACCTTCACCTTTTGATTCTTTTATATACAAGTCATACTCAACTGAACTCTTCACAAAACCTTGTTTATATAGGAATGCATCAATCACCTTGTTCCAAGCTCTAGGAGCTTGTTTAAGACCGTATAAGGCCTTATTGAGTCTGTAGACTTGATGTTCACTTCCAACCTTTTCAAATCCTGGTGATTGCCTCACATACACTTCTTCTTCCAATGGTCCATTAAGAAAAGCAGATTTAACATCAAGTTGACATATAGTCCAACTTCTCCAGCTAGCAACAGCCACAACAAGTCTCACAGTTTCAAGCCTTGCGACAGGAGCAAATACATCTGTGAAGTCAACACCTTGTTTCTGTAGAAAGCCTTTTGTCTCTCGGAAGATCTACTAGCTTCCATGTTCTGTTTCTTTCTATGGCTTCAAGCTCTTCAATCATAGCAGTTTTCCACTCTTTGACATCAATTACTTCTTTCCAGCTTACATGTTCTTAATCAATGAAAAAGGAAAAGTGCACCAACTCTCCATCATTGTTGATTTCATTATCACCAAGTGATTATTGATCAGTTAATCGTGTAGAAGGGAAGCTGATCCTTTGAGATTTTCTGGTAGCAGGCAATTTAATTACATCAGCGCCACTAGAGTTTCTTTCTTTCTATTCCAGAAAACACGGTATTCTCTGAGCTTGGTTGACTCTCCCAATTCCATTTTCCAGCTTCATCCACCACCACATCTCTACTTATGATCACTTGATTCAAAGCAGAATTGAATAATTTGTATGCACCAGTTGGATGATATCCCACCAGAATCAAGGTTTCACTCTTATCATCTAGTTTCTTCCTCTTTTCATCCGGTATGTGTCTGTGACAGATAGAACCAAATATCCGAAAGTGGTGCACCATAGGTTTATGTCCAGACCATGCCTCTTCAGGTGTAACATTCTTCATATTCTTTGTTGGACTCCTGTTTAGTATAAAGGCAGTTGTGGTTACAGCTTCTCCCCAAAAACAGTTTGGTAATCCTTTACCTTTCATCATGCATCTCGTCATATCAAGTAAAGTTTTGTTTCTCCTTTCCGCCAGGCCAATATGTTGGGGTGTATAGGGGGCTGTGATTTCATGCTCAACCCCTTTTAATTCGCAAAACTCATTCATCTCATTGGAATTAAACTCTCCTCCACCATCAGTTCTAAAAATCTTCAAACTCCAACCAGACTGCCTCTCAGCTTTAGCAAGCCATTTAACAAACACATAAAATACCTCTTTCTTCTCTTTTATCAGATATAGCCACACTTTCCTAGTGTATTCATCAACAAAAGTTAGGAAGTATTTATTACCTCCTAGAAAAGGTGTTTCAAACGGGCCACAGACATCTGAATGGACTACATTAAGAGGGTGTTTTGCTCTTTTTAGTGCAGTAACTTTGAATTTCTTCCTTGGTTGTTTCCCAATCAAACAACATTCACACGTCTTTTGCGGGTGATGTACCAATGACAACCCTTTTACCATTTTTTCACTACTTAACAAGTTTAGGCTCTTAAAGTTTAAGTGCCCAAATCTAAAATTCCAAAGCCAACTCTCTTCTTCAACATTAACAAAAGATAAGAATTGAATTGCAGTAGCATCAAGATTAATTTTGAATGTTCTGTTTCTTGATAGAGGCACTTTCAGTAATAACCTTTGGTTAGAGTCATAGACTTCAATGTGATTCTGCTACATAATCATGGAATAACCCTTTTCAAGTAATTGCCCTAGACTTAGTAAATTGTGCTGCATTGAGGGAACGTACAACACATCATGCATGTATGCTGTCTTACCATCCTTTTGTGTGATCACAACCTTGCCAATTCCCTCTGCTGTGATGGTGCTATTATCTGCAAATCTAACATTGCTTTTCACCGTTGAATCAAGATCAATTATCCAATCTCTATTTCCTGTCATATGGTTCGAACAACCAGTGTCAAGATACCACGAAGGCATATCACTATCACTGTTTGTAGTAACCATTAGTAATACTTGATCCGAATCAGAACTGTCCTCATCTTGGGCCAAGTGCGCTTCGTCACTCTTCTTGTCTTTCTTGTTTGTAGCACCATTGTTATGCCAACACTCTGCTGCATAGTGACCAAACTTGTGACAATTGTAACATTAAACTTTTCTTTTGTCAAGATTTCTCCTACCTCTTCCCTTAGATTGTCTTCCACCTCTTTGTGCCTGATTATTCTTCTGTTCAGAGTTGCTATCATTAGAATTTTCAGACCAATCTATGTGTCTACGTCTACCTCTTCCCTCCTTAGATCTTCCACGTGAATACTTTCCACCACGTCCTCTATTTCGCTGTTGATTGGCTCTGGCTTGAAGGGCTTGATCAGTGGTTCTTTCAACATTTCTTCTTTCAACAATTCGCTGCTCATGTGATTCCAAGGAATTTTGAAGTTCTTCTACCGTCATGTCTTCAAGATTTTTAGACTCTTCAATAGCAACCACAATGTGATCAAAGCGAGGGTTCAACGTCCGCAATACTTTCTCTACAATCTTTGAATCTTCTATCTTCTCATCACAAGCCCGCATAGCATTAGTCACCACTTACAATTTATTAAAATACTCTACCACAGATTCCTGCTCTGTCATTGAAAGCAATTCATATTGTCTTCTTAGTGACTAAAGCTTCACCTTTTTAATTTTTTCAGAATTACCATACCCATTGCTTAATATATCCAATATCTCCTTTGATGTGGCAGCTTTTGAAATTTTCTAAAATATACAGGGTGATACACACTGATGCAGCAGAACCCTTGCTTTACAGTCCATTCTCTTGTTTTCTTTGAACATCACTTTTTGTTCATCACTTGCGTTCTTGATAGGCTCTTTAAACTCATTCTTGACAATCTCATCAACATCTTGATATCCAAGAATTGCATTTATCTTGACACACCAGTCATCGTAATCTTTCCCATCAAAGATAGGAAGACTTCCTGGTATTCCCAAAACAGTCATGAGAACACTTCTCTGAATGTTTCGCTATACTACCTTTCAACTTGCTTGGCCCCTCCGAACCTCGCTCTATGATACCAATCTGTTAGAACAGGGATAACACATTCAGCAGTAAAACTAGATGAATACTGAGATAGAGAAAACAAGAGATAAAATTTTCTCATCTATCAAAGAAATGAATACAAGGTATTTATACTCGTCAAACGGTAAAAACCGTTATAAGTTTTTATTACTATTTAACATTAAAGCTTATAAAATAATGAAATAAAGGATTATATATATATATATATATATATATATATATATATATATATATATATATATATATATATATATATATATCACTATTTTATTAAAAGAAATGATTTTTTTTTCAGAATTTTAATTTTATATTTTTTATCTTTTGGAGGTATTTACTTATTATTGTTTTAATTAATTTCTTTTAAGAATTTCAACACTCTATGTTTTTATCTTCTTTCTCTAAGATAATCCTCTATTTTTTCTATGAATATTAAAAAAAACTACTATATATATATTATTTGAATAAGTTTGAATGTAAAATATTATTTTGTAATTTATATAACTTGGAAACTATTAAGATGAAAAAAAAAGACTTAAAAAAGGATTTTTTTTTCTCTATATATAGATCAACACACATACATATTTTGTTCAAAGTAATCTTAAATGTATTAATATTTCTTTTGCACGTTAATTCTTTATTAGATTTGGAACAAGACATTACATAATACAATTAAAATTTAAAGCTTTTTAGGTCTAGAGTCAAATGTGTCAAACAATGTACAAAACGCATCTATGTTTCACAACACACCAGTTGACGTTGAAACGTTGAAACTGTCGTCACATAGATATTCTTATTTGGCTTTGTTTGATTGTTGTGCTCAGTTCGATCTCAGAGACGTACCAGAAGTTGGAGACAGAAAGTGAGGTGACTCTAAAGCCATGCAATGCCCATTCTGAACACTGTTAAACTGCGAAGAACTTGGAGATGAAAGAAAATAGTGATAATTTTGATAAAAAGAAAAAATTGGAATTTTTTTATAAGTTTGAGTAGGTTCCATGAAGCATCCTGGAAACAAGCATGAGGGTGACTTGCACGTATAGACAGACATAAATTAACTGATCATCATCGCCAAAAGGAATGCTTGTTTAAAGAATTATATATATTTTTATGGTGGTTTAAAGGATTATAATATCTATATAACACTTTCTACAATATTGTTTTCCATTATAATAGTTTTCCAGTTTTACTGTTTACTATACAGAAGTTTGAAAACATAAGATTATATGACAGTTTTGTAATTAAAAATAATATTTTTCTCAAACAAAACCAAAGTTGAAATTTCATTAATTTATTAACAAAACAAATGACTTCTAGTTAATTAAAGTACGTTTTCTTTTTAAATAATTAAAGTAAGGTTCATGTATTGATCAGTATTAAAAAATACAATTTTTATTGCTATTTCTTTTTATTAATTTACTTAACTATTAAATAAAGTAATTTTTAATTATTCCATAAATTGTTTTAAATCCCACTTTATTATTTTAAAATTTTAATGTTTTTTAACGTCAAATTTCAATAATTTATATTCTCAAATTATAATTTTTAAAATTATTTGTTCCGTATACATCTCAATTACTATTTTTTTTCATATATTTATTATATTTTCGTTTGTTTTCTACCTTTATAAATTACTCAATTAAAAAAAATCATGCATTGTTTTTTTTCCTAAAATACCCTTAATTAATAGAGACATTTTTACTAAGAATAATAATAAATATTTTAATGAATGCCATGAATTTTTTTCTCTCATAATTTATTAAAAAATAATTAAAATTTGATTGAATAATATATAATTTCTTTCTCCTAGTCTTATTCAACTATTTTTACCTTTAAAAAATAAGGATAGTATTTGACACAATAATATATATTTTTTCTTTAATTACTAACCCCACAAAATATTCGTAGAATATTGCATAAGCTCAATTTTTCTATTTGCTTCTTATTATCTTATCACCTCATAATTGGAGTTGAACACAGGTAGAACACTAAAGGAGCACATCAATTCAGAATATTCTCTGGCGAGAGAGCATCTCCACACAATTGATCGTAAGTTGATGTTATTCATTCGTATGGTTACTATTTACACCAGCATAAAAAGAATTAAAAAGAAAAAGAGTAAAAGAAGAGAAGATAAATGCCTGTTTGTTCTCTCAATTCAAGTGGCACTTGAAAAGCTACGAAGCAGAAAGTAATTTAAAATATCGAACACAAGCAAACTTACCATGGATTAAAAAAAACCATTAACTGCGTCCTCCACTTTCGTCGATCATCAGTCCTTTTAAACTCTTAGCTAACCAAATGGCTGTCTCCCTTGGGGAGACCTTATCTTTTCCAAAGGGCTTCAGAACAACTGCAAGTTCTTCCAATCTATTTTGCTGCAGCAAATCTGCAGATAATTCTAACAGTCCTTCAAGTGCTTCAGCTCTCTGCCTGGAAGATTTAACATCCAAAATTTCCTTTGCTGGTGGTTCCTCTTCAGCTGTAGGAGTGAATCTGGAATACTCAAGGGAATTAGATTTTGAAACAATAGAATCAGGATTTTTCACATCTTGTTCCTTAACACCAGGATGATCAGTATAACTTGATTTCATGCTTAACGAGTCAGTGCAACTTGAAGATTTTAAGTTAGGAGGACTATTCAAGTTTCTGATTTCCATATTTTCAGAAATATTTGTCTTCAAGCCAATAGCTTCAGAACAATTAGAAGGTTTTAGGGTCAAAGGAGTGCTCACATTTCTCATTTCTATATCATCCCTTACAATGTTGATAAACTTACCGACATCTACATTTTGAACACCCATTTCCACGGATTCCTTCACTGGCTGCTCACTCCCCACACGGTAACTGCTATGGCGTATGACATGAATGACATCATCAAAAGCTGGAGGAAGATGGCCAACAGCTGGCCTTTCTGGTGCTGAAATTGTTCCTTTCTCCTCTTGCAAAACTTTCTGGCTTGAAATTTTGGTAGAGATAATCAAAGGAGCAGTTTCTTCCGCTGATGACACTCTTTCCCTCACCATAAATTTGTCATCACCACTGGAGATGCACATAAGTTTTGGATGGCTGACTTTATCAAGCCTATTATTTGGCTTGCTTGCTGGACCAAATTCTTGACAAACAGACTTTTCTCCAGAAACGGGGAGTGGCTGTTGGAGAGACTTGGATGAAGACATCTCCATAGAAATATCTTCAACATCTTTGATATTTTCTGTGATTTCAGCAGAGCTATCAACAGATGTATTTTCACACCTGGAGACACCAAATGTAGTCCTCTGATTTGTGGGAAAACTATCATCAGAAGCAAACATTACCTCAGTATCATGAACTGAATGATCTAGAGATAAACTGGGACATACTTTCTCAGCACTAGTCATTATCTTCTGAAAATGTGGTGTAATGACAGAGGTTTCCTCGGACAATTGTTCAGACATCTCAAAATGCGAATAAGATGCAGGTGAACTGCTATCTGCTCGTGATTCCACATTTTCAGCGTGGTTTAAACTCTCTTGATCAGGAAGTGTTGTGTCGCCTAAGTCAATAAAAGTGGTTGCAAAATCAGAAAGTTCAAATCCTTGAATAGAAAAAGAAGATGAGACAGAATTGCTACTGTCTGTTTGCATTTCTTTGGAACTGCTTTCAAAAGTCTTTAAAGGCTCTCGAGTAATCTCTCTAGAAACATGTGGTAGCTGACTCTTGGTCAACTGGTGATGGCTCATCTTAGGCTCCCGAACCATTTTGTTTGGACTTGACATTCCAGTATTATTTGCTGCATTTGGAACATCAAACCCAGCCTGCCTCACATGTCCTGGAAAAGAAGGTGGTTTAAGTAAGCTTGGAGGAGTTTGCCTTGGCTTAGCAGGAACTTCACGTCCTTCTACCTGTTTGACAGGACCCAGTGGTGGAATCACATTATGTCGAGGTTTAGTTTTTGGTGTCGATTCAATCATCGGTAACTGCTAGCATGCATCAGTATACCAGAAAAAAATTTCAATGTTATGAAAAAATCTTCAAGAGTAACTAATATCACACTAAAGCATTTATGATGGTAATGTACCTGATGCTTTGATGTATGTGATCCTTGCATTCTTTTAGCAGAATCAGGAGTCGCTTTTGAAGGTGCAATAGTTGGCACCTCCAAATTCGGATTCAAATCACAAGCACCAAAATTGAGTTTGGGCAATTTGGACAATGTCTCTGTATTTATTTTATGTGTCAACACACCACCACCCTTTATGCGATTGCCTCTTATGGGTGAACTTGTCTCTCTAAGTTTTCCGTTTTTTAATGTTGTCACTACATTCTTAATTGCTTTTGGTTGCTTAGATACAACATTAGAATGGTGTTCATTATTAGATTGCTTTGTCACCTCTTGATCAACAGTTTTGGCGTTGACTTTGATGGAGCCATTTCCTTCTTCATCAGGCTGGAGTTGCTCAGAGCCATCATCCTCAATTGATGTCATGTCTATTTCAGTACTTTTGTTACCACACTTCTGGACTGCATTTTCAGTGTTTTTCACATTTGACATCAAACTATCTTTATCGGTACTTGAACAACTACTGTTTTGACCTTCTGGCTTATTTTTTCGAGGATAATGAACAGCAGAAATTGGCTTTTCAGGAGAACTGGCTGTTGGAGAACAGAAAGATGAACGATATTGATCAACATAAGGTAACAAATAAGGGTGCTTTAAGACTTCAGATGCCTGTGAAAATTATATAATGAAATAGCTCAAGATTAGCTACAATATGAAACCAGTGTAATACTGGAAATAAGATCACTCTCAAAAAGATGCTTACCGTTGGACGATGCTCAGGATTTTTCCTCAGCATGCCCTTTATCAGTGTTTTCCTGTAGGTTTGAACCGAGTTTAAGATTTCCAGTGAACATACATGAGAAACAAGAATTGAAATATATATATATATATATATATATATATATATATATATATATAATGTATGCATGTATATGTATTTTATATCATCCTCTAAACCTAGACAGATTTGAGCTTTTCTTAATGTCAAACAGAAGCCTTTCAGTCCTTTCTATATGAATGGCAACAAAACAAAAGACAATTAAGTTAGCATGCCCTTTCAACTTCATGTTCATTGATGATTCGTATGAAAAAGCAAAGCAATCTTGAGAATAAATAAGAGTGTTGCAACAAGTGCAGCGTATGACAAATGTCCGTAAGTCCCAAACAAGCAAGTGGATATACTAGTCAGTCCTAGGGCATAAACAAGTCGAGCATTTATGATTTATGCTTAATTAGTTAAAAGACCACATAATTGCTCAAGATTGGCTCATTTATTTTAAAAAGTCAATTTAAAGCTTTCACATAGCGGTTTAATGGCTTTTCCTTTCATAGTTTTTTAAGTTCATTAATAGTATTGAGCGCATAACACCATGCCAGAAGGTGAAAGACATGAAGATGAAATCTTTGATCATGAAGGAAATGGATTTTTTGGAAAAGCATGATGATCACTCATTTATAGTATGATTCTTGAAAAATGAAATTAGCCAAGTGATAAATATAAGATGATAATTATAATAATAATAATAATAGATATATAACAATTCTCCAAGTAAATGTAATAAACGGAATTACAAAACAATACGTAATATTTACATATGCAAGCTATTAGTGTCAAGCCGACAGAGTTAATGCTCGTCTCATTTAAACTGTTTGAGTATAACTTCAAGTTTGAGTTTGATTGTTTAGCTAAGCATACTAGCTTAATTGAGCATTCAACAACCCAAACTCAAATAATTTAGCTCAGAACTGGACTACATTTTTATGTCATATGAACGTGACTTCACAGGAAAACCTGAGTAAATCACTCACTTTATATTAACAGAATGATACTAGCCTCCATAGAAGCAGGTGATACTTACAACGATGGAGAATAACAGGGAGGCAGAGGGCCAATAGAAGAACGGTTTATCTTGCTTATCAACCCTGCCATATCCTGAAATAATGTTTGACATATCTTGCTTATCAAGGGAAACAAAAAACAAGATGACAAATTGGATTCTCAAAAGTAAATGACAAGATTGGGTCCACAACAAGCTTAAATTTAGAAGTTAGAACTCCATCACTAATATCACAGTAGCAACAACCATAAAATAGGTCATAGGAGGATTCTAATAGGGTTAGTTATTCGATCATGCCTGGGCTTTTATAGTTTTATCCCTTCTAGACCATTAACATTAGGGGTGAGCAAAATATTTGTTAGGTCCAAATTTCTGTTTTACCAATCCCGTCAGATCCATTACACATCATTTAATTATTAGATAAGATTTTTTATTGGATCCATTTTTTTAGTTACTCAATCCTGATTCAGTTTTTCATGTGGATTTTAGAAATTGGAAAATCCAAAATCTCATTTCTCCCTAAGCTAGCTTTGAACGAGGAGACTTAATGCGAGATCAGATTCACTGAATCACAGTCCTCTTTCTTCTTCACAGTTCAATATTCGTCACAGATTTGGTAAATCCAATGCATATCTTAATTTACATATGAGCATTTTTTCATTTTCATGGACAAATTAAAAATTCACACTCCATTGAGATGCATGTTACTATTACAAATTCTATTGGAAAATTTTATGGAGAATTTCTCAGCGATCTCATTCAATGATTGAATAATTTCTATACAATTTTATGGATGAAGAAAAGCCGCCACATCTTGGAAAAAACGCAGGTTACTACCACTAATAGAGGCGTACTTTGGAAATTTCATGGATTTTTCCTACATGGATTCTTTTGGTTTCTATATCTAGAGTCAATGGTTTATGGTGGAATGATTACGAATACCCATTGAACTTCCTATCTGTCTTCACATCACAAGAGACAAGCTTTTGGTAAGTAACACAGCCATCTCTCTGTAAACTGATCAATTTTACACTTTTTCTACTTCGTGATAAAAATAAATTGTTTATAAAAACATCATATTTCATGAATACACAAGCTGTTTCGTGGAACTTTGTTGGAAGTTTGCTTTCAAAGATTATATCATTGAAAAGAAACTAATTACTTCATTTTTAGAAAATATGGATGTGGATTGATTGCCCACCATTTTAAATGAACTTTTCTTTGCCTCACACAGAATCACATATTTGTTAACTTTGGTCCAAAATGCCCACCCTTTTTCAGATCAAACTTGAGGATAATATATTAAAAGAATTAGCAAATGATTGTAGCATATCTATAAATACTCCAAAATAAGTAAAATATTATATATGTGTTACAATTCCCACGTAGTGTGTCTCATGTCATATGGTATAGTTTAAATGTCTGTTAGACTATTCCATGTATTGTTAATTGGATTTATGTTGGAACCTTAACATAGTATTAGAGTCAAAGCCTAACTTCTTTTCAGTTATTGTCAAATATCTATCACTGATTGGTTTTATGTTGGAACCTTAACAATATATGTATATATCTATATTTTAGAGAGAGAGGAACTCTAAATGAAATTTTTGTTATCGAGACCATTATGCAAATCAATACGTTATCCTTTCTGTTGCACAAAAATGCAACTTTACGATCTCTGATACACATATGAACTTCATATATGACTTAGTGACTGTGCAGTAAATAGACATCTGATTATAGCAAATCTATAATTACAACGAAGTAAAAAAAGAAATCAGAAGAAAACTTACAAAAGCTTTAAAAGCTGGGCGATGAGCAGCCATCTCATATATACAACACCCTGAACAACAAAATGCAATTTAGCTGCAGCAAAACGAATATCAGATACTCATTGCATAAAACATATACCTAGTGACCAAATGTCAGATTTGAATCCATAAGGAATATCTGCAAGCAGTTCAGGACACATATAGTTGGGAGTTCCTACCACCTGCACACAAATATTTACAGAAATTAACTTACAGAAGCAGTAACTGCACATTTCTAAAATAAATGCATTGTTAACCATATATTACCAAAGTCATATTATAAACCTATTAGTAATTTGAAATTATTAAAACATGGATTCCATCCTTCCATAAATGCGAAAGCTGATAAATATAAAGCTCATTACAACATAGTTTTCCAGCTGAATCGGAATCAAGTAGAAACTTCGATCTTTTCACTGAAAACAAAAACCATTGGCTTTATTTATCAAATCTGAGGCAAGGAAATCAATTTAATCCACTTAAACAACACTCAATTGGTCTCCACATGTTTTATTTTCTGAAATATTAGTATTAAAGGAAGAAAATAAGAAAGCTTGCTGACTATTTCAGCAGTGGAGAGAAAAAGAATGGTAAGCAACAGAAGATTGCTATGTGGCTCCCTGCGAATACCACCTTAGCCTATTTTAGAGTATTCTCCATCACTACTGGCATCTTCTAGGTCATCTCTATTAAATTATTATAAACTCACTTTCAGGATATATCGCACCACATGTGCATAGGTTTAAGTGTCGCTTTGGTCAACAAAGAGAAGTATTAATAGTAAAAAAAAAAAAATCTCATAAGATGGCTAAACTTATTTAAAGGATTTAAAAGTTTTTCTTTCACCTAAAACTAATAGGCCTGCAAGTCTATTTTCCAGGTTTGACATCAACATTTGTCTTAAAGTATATGTTTTATATAAGACAAACAGACATAACTAATCCTTTTATGTGAAAAAAAAAGTTGTTTAAGCAAAATTATTTCTAGCAATCACGGTATAAATTTGATTTAAAAGAAGTGTTTGGTGAGAGTTTAGATTTAATATCATAGTAATAACAAGAATGGGATATGGTGTGATGTTAAGGAATAAATCAACCAAACAATCGAAGAAATTTTGATTAAACATAGTTATGAAGATCATTGTTAGCTAATGGCCTACCAAATAGACAATAACAAGCATAGTAACAATGTGAAGCTTTCTGTTTCATGAGCAGATACTGTAGGGTGTACTTAGTTTGATAGGCAGACGCTACAAAAATTGGATGATGATATGTAAATATGAATGGGTATTTTCCCAAAGTATAACTAAATATGTCCAAGTGAGGGAGCAAGCAAGGGGAGTGATGTAAGGATGAAAAACCCTAGGCTCTAACTTGGTTTCGGTGCTGATAAGCATATGATGTTAACATGTAGGGTTCATGAGTGCTGCAAAAACTTGACAGAAAAATGTTTAGCATGAATCTTTACATTATTTAAACAAAAAATTGGATTTAAAGACGAAAAAAAAAAGCAGAATATTCACATTTCTTACATACCGAAGAAGCCAAATCATCCGCTTTTAGTGTCTTAGCAAGCCCAAAATCCCCTATATGATTGTCAGGATTGCAGACAAATTTCAGGATGAAAACATCATAGTCTATCCCTAAAATAGTCAGATACGATAGATGAACTCACCAAGGCGAACATCTTGATCCTTGGTAAGAAAAATATTGGAACACTGCAAGTAGAGTTGAAAAACATTTTCAAATTGAAGATTAAGGAAAGAAAAACAAGAATCAGCACGTTTAGCGTATAAATTTGTCTCACAAGTAATACCTTTAGGTCGCGATGTAAAACAAAATTTGAATGCAGGTATTCCACTGCCAAGAGTAGTTGAGTAAACCACTTGCAGAGTTTCTTAGCAATGCCAAAAACATCCAACTTGAGCAACGAAAAATACTCAAAAAACAACACATGAATTAGGATAGCCAAATATATTTGTGGCAAAATACCTCCTCAGGAAAGTAAACCCCATTTGACTTTTTCATCAATGCAGCCCTGTTAAACATAACTAAAATAGTAAGTAATTGGGCATACGCAACTTAACATGACAGGAGTTCACACTTCACAGATATTACTCACATGTCTCCACCTTCACAATATCCAGTAACAATGCAAACATAGCAACCCTGCAATACAACAAGAATATAGTCAACCAAAGAAATAACGGTTAAATATAACAATTGAAACGGTGTTCTGTGTCTCACCTTCTCAACCCAGGCCTCTTTGAATTCAACAATGTAAGGGTGCTGAATTCGAGCAATAAGCGCCATCTACAATTCCGGTAACAGTCAAGAAAGGTCAAATATAAGAGCAATTCGCAAATAAAATAACAAGCAACCCAAAACCTACCTCCTGATGAGCAGATCTTCGGCATCGTTCAGTCTGCCGCGCGAGCCTTATTTTCTTCAACACGTACCTGCAATCCACGCACAAAACCAAGCGTTAGCTCTCAAAATTCAAAAGAACACAATCCAGTCTGTGACTCAGTCAAACGCAAAATCAAGACGAAAAACGGCGCGCACTTCTTCTTCTCCGCTTTATTGTTCACCAGAATCGCGGCGCCAAACGCTCCGCGACCGATCTGCTCCATGATCTCGTAGTGATCCATCCGCGACTCCATCTCGCTCCCGATCCAATTACGATTAACTGGTTAAGTTCAGAACAAAATCCACTCTCGGAACTCCGGCGATGGCGCCGAAACCGTTTCTACATTGCTTCCACAACGGAACCACGTGCGAGGTCAGCGTTCTCTGGTTTTAACCATCCCTAACCTGTCTCCGCAATCAATGTCGTAGTGCTTCGAGCACACTCGATTCTCTCTCACGCACTCTCGCAATGCTGTAATGATAACACCAATGTGAATTACGCAGCGTAATTATCTTTCGCAGAAATTGCAATGATGAGGTTACTTTTTCTTGTGACGAAAACGAAAATGAAAATGAAGAAGAGAAGAACTGAGAAGAAAGAAAAATACACACTATCTCTCTCTAAAACGACAAATCTAGAGAGAGAAAGAAATAGCGTACATACGCCGACAGTCACAGCTGGTCTACCACACCAGCTTCCACCCCTTGATTTTTCGTTTTTATTTACATATAATAATGCAGTATTTGCGTATTTATTAGGAGGATAAAGTGATGGTTAATATGTGTTAGTTTTTGAAAAGTTTTCTGGAATTAAGCTAAAAAAGCACAATTACGTAAAGAATTAGATTAACGAGAGTTTGAGGTACCGTTAACTTCAAAATTCAGCATCCATTAACATTGATTACTGCGGAGTGTGTCGCCATCGTGGGGGAAGTACCAGTTAACCGTTGCTAATTACGAAAAGAGATACAGAAGAAGCCAATTATGTGTAGAAAGTAGAACTCACTGTAGCAATCAGAAACTAGAATTGCAGGGTTGCAACAGTGCCCAAAAGAATTTTTTAGTTCGCTTAACGGATAAAATATTTGTCGCCACAAAAAAATATCCTTACTTTTTATGACAAAACATATCTACTAAAAATGGGATTCCCATATTTTTTTTAATTATATCCTCTATAATATGTAAAAACATATTAATATTAATATTTTTTTATGGGATTTTATAAAAAATATTTTTAATTGTTCATCATATAATATTAACAAGTTTATCTCTCTATTAACCCGTACCCATTCCTCTTTTTCGTTTTCTTCTTTTAGTTGGTGGCTTGCTAGCTGATCTGATCTCTCAAACAAATGAACCATTGATTGGTCACCTAACGTAGCATATGCTACAACAATTTCATGTATCATTAGTATGTAGTGAATAAGAAAAAAGGGGCGAAAAAATTAAAGAGAAAAACATTGGTGGAACCGTGGAAGATAATAGAAGTATCGTGTAGGAATAAACAATGCCAAGAACAACCTGGCATGCATTGCATCTATGGTGATTAGAAATAAGGCAGAACCAAAAGTGACATATTTTAATATCTAAAATGATTAGAGAAGAAAAAATGAAATGAATTGGAAAGACAGTGATGATGGTTAGATCTTAGGAACGTCTCGTTAATGCAAACGCATCTTCATGCCAGCCCCATGAAAATCTCACTTTAGAGCCAAAGATGCCGCGAACCACATCAATCAGTCATTTCATATTTTCAAAAACTTGCCTTGGCTATGACTGACTTCATGTTGTCATTGGACAGAGATGATGGACGAATTGAATTTAAAACCAAAAATGATACTCCAATGGTCCCTTCTCACCCTCTCTCTCCCTCTGTTTTTACTCCCATTGCTACAACACAACCCATCATCACTACTTTTACCTTAAACTACACCTGGCACACCTGAACTAATAATAATAATTACAGAAAAGTCTACACACACAAATACGTAATCAAAACTACATTTTATACTATAATGTTTAGTTTGCAAAAGAAAATAAAAAAAAATGATTTTTGAAGTTGTTTGATGATTTTATCACCACAACACCTACTCTTGATTTTGGTCTACTACCAGTTGATAACCAGAGATAACATAGCTCAAGCTATTAGTTGCCCAGATAAAGGAATGGAAAAACTGGGAAAAGCTGTATCCACTTATGAAATATTTATGAAAAACTTTACCTAAACATTGTCTTGGATCAGGAATGGAAAATGAGTCTAAAAAGAAACTACGATCAAATAAGAGGATAAAAAATAATTTGTTTAAATTAGAAGAAAGAAAATTTCATTATTAATAGTTTTAATTTTTTTTATCATTAAAAATTAAAAAATCAATTATGTCTAATGTATATAATATTATAAAATATTTATGTTATAAAATCAATTATGTAATCTTTTTTTCTTATTTTTCGCATCAATGGAAAAGGCGTTTGTACTTCTTGACGGTAAATTTTATCCATTAAAAAAACTTAAAATTTGTCGGTTCTTTCCTTCTCAAAATTTCAATTCAAATTAAGACACATAGATACTTATTGGGTTTGGTAATTTGAGAATTCAACCTATTCAATTTAATCCAACTAAATTTGAGTTCTGAGTGGAGTAAACATGATTCAATCAAACCTAATTCAATTTCCAATTAAAGGATAGGTTTTGTAGGTTGAACATAATTATAATATAATTATTATTTAATTATTAAATTAATTAAATATGTGATTTTGAAATATTAATTTATTTAAATAATAAATATATATAGTGTATTTTAAAAGATATATAAAAATTTATTTTAATAATATTTAAGCAATTAAATCAATTAAATCCAATTCTATAATTATAGATTGTGTTGATTGGATAAATAAAAATAAAATCAAAATCAATTTAATATACATTTTTTTTAATGATGAGTTCAGTCAAACTAAACACAATTTATATACAGCACTACTTGACTTTTCAGGTATTTTAAATATTCAAGAATTAGAATTAAAATAATAACTTTAAAATAATTAAACATATAAAAATTAAAAAAATTCAAATATATATGTTGAAAGTCTCATATCGCTACTTCATTTTGTATGGTTTAAATACATGTTAGATTACTCCACGTATTGTCAATTCCACACATTATCCATTGATTTTATATTATAACCTTAATACTATATAATTATAATATGATAAAACAAATTTAATTTCAGATATTTACTTTATTGTATAGGTTAAAAATATAATATATATTATAATTTATAAGAGAATATAATCCTCACCTTAATGAGTTAATTTTATTATATTGAATTAGACATATGATAAGACGATATTAAAATTAACTCTAATAATACTAAGAACATAATATAGTTAATAAAAATAGATTTAATCACTTATTATTATATTAATATTAGACCACTCATCTTTTAACGCGAGGAGTACATTATAAAAAAATCCTCAACAAATGTAATAAAAAATCAACTTCAACTTACTAAAAAATCTTACATTAACTATATATACCATCATTATGTTATAATATATAGTAACTACACTACTATTATATTTTTATTATTTATCTTTTATTTTATATTATATTTTTATTATCATGTTTTTTAAAAGTTTAAAGCACTACCAAATTAATTTTTTAAGAGAATTATTCTTGATGGAATTTGAACCTAATTCCTTAAAGTTAAAGGTGGATACTCCAACCACTAAACTACTAAAATTTTCTGAAAATAACTTACAAATAAATTATATTTATATACAAATAAATATATATTCGTGTAAATATATAAATACAAATTTGTGAGCGGATCTCTTTATACGTGTTTGTAATTTAATGACATAATATAATATTTATAATTTATTTATATAATGATATAAAATAATTTTAAGAAACGCATCATTCGCTCAAGCGAAAAATACCAACAATGCTTGAGCGGGTGAATTTTCGTGAGCTTTAACATATTTTCACTCAAACAAGAGTCAATCTTACTTTCACCCTCGAGCGCGCCTCACATCTAACATATAAATATATAACTATATATAAACATATTAAAATATATAAATATATTTGTATTTATATATTTTATATTTATATATTTACACGGATATATATTTATTTGTATTTATATATTTTATATTTATATATTTACACGGATATATATTTTTTTGTATATAAATATAATTTATTTGTAAGTTATTATCGAGAAAATTATAATAGTTTAGTGGTTGGAGTATTAATTTTCAACTCTAAAATATTGGGTTTGAATCTTGTCAATGACAATTCTTTAACTTAAGTGAATTTTTTTCTGAAAAATAAAATAAAAACACTTTCCAGAAAATATATACAAATAAATATATATTTACACGAGATATATATTTATTTGTATATAAATATAATTTATTTGTAAATTATTGTCAGAAAATTATAGTAATTTAGTGGTTGGAGTATCAATTTTTCAATTCTATTATAAAATATTATATTTGAATCCTCTCAGTGACAATTCTCTAACTTAAATGAGTTTTTGGGTGAAAAAAAATAAAAACACTTTCCACGTCAATTCATTTGAAAATCAACATAAGTCGATTGACTAAAAACCGATATAAAATGTATTCAACTTTCACCGTTATTATCTTATTCATTGGTCATCCAAATAATCACATGAAACCTCTCCTTTCCTAAACGTTTTTCATCTCAAAATTTGAGAGAAAAATTTATACCAAAACCTCATATTATTGTTTGGAGAAGCTTGTTTTTTTTTTTTAATCCTCAATTTTCAGCTCGTTAAAAAGAAAAGTGTTCTTACATTGAGCAAGCAACAAAATAGTACAACTTAATTTGCACGATTTTTTTCCCGCTTAGCATTGTTTTAACATAAATTTTCATATATAGCATACTATATGTAATATTTACATAAGTAGCACACTTTTATAAAAAGTCAAACATTTCAAGATTTTTTTTACTAACATCCTATTAAATTTATAATCCATAAATAACATCATTCTATCAATATTTACCTAACTAGCACAATATTCTTACACGGTTGGAATTCGATTCTTAGGAGACCGAATTTCAACCTCACTAATTACTATAATTTTAAAAATAAATAATATTTATTAAATATAATAAATATATATATATATATTTATATAAAAATATATATAAATATTATATATATATATATATATATTTTATATAAAAAAATATATAAATATTATATATATATATATATTCTTTTTTTAAAATTATTTATATAATTATATTATTAATATATTTTTATAAATATAATAAAAACAAAAATATATTTAATATATATATATATATAATATTTAAATATTTATTTATATTTTTATAAATATATTAAAATTTAATAAATATATATTTCTATATAACATTTTTACATAAATACATTATATATATTATTTAAATATATTTTTAATATAAAATAATTTTAATAAGTAAAAATAATATTTTTTATAGAAATATATAAATATTTTTATTATATTTTAATATATTTTTACTATATTTATAAAAATATATTAATAATATAATTATATAAATATATTTTTATGTTATTTTAAAAAATATATTTATATTTATTTCATATAATTATATAAATAAATTTTTTTTAAATATATATATAATATTTATATATTTATTTTATATAAAATATATATATTTATATTTAATTATTTTATTTAAAAAAATAGTATTAATTAGGTAAATATTGATAAAATAATGTTATTTTTGAATTATAAATTTAATCACATTCTAAGTAAATAAATATTGATAGAATGATGGTATTTCTGAATTATAAATTTAATAGCATATTACAGATTAAAAAAATCTAATTTGCACAGTTAAATCAGTGTACTGAACTGCTAATGTACTGAAGAAGTAAACTTGGTTAGATTTATTGAATAATGAAAGAGACATGTACCTTGTATTATTGTAACGTGTCAAACAATGTACATAACTCATTAGTTTTCTATACGATTCATTAGATTTTTGGCCGCACTACCTATTCATCCAATAACAGACACAATGTACCAGGTTCATAAGTTTGGCTTTGAATCTTTCTACTCTTAAATAAAATTATTATATTATAATCTTTGTTAACAATTGGGTGTAAAATATTCACCATAATCTATTATATTAATATAAAAATTATTAGAATTATTATATCCTCTTATTATATCGGTTCACTCTAAATTTTTATTCTATCACTTCATCTAAAAAAGCACATCGTTTGTTTGAATTTTTTAAAAACTAATTTGAAGTTTAATTGAGTAAAAGAGGGTATATTGATTTGAGACATAAGATAAAATAGAATCAATATTTTTAGGAATCAAATTTTTGGCATCATGCATTAGATGGAGATATGCGTTGTTGGCACCTGCCAGGTTATTTTCTCAGGTGGCTCGACAACAACACAAGACGGCGCTGTGACAGAGATAGCAGTGGTATCTATCGAATGTGTTCTGCAATAATTAAATCTTCCGCGTTACTTTCTTTAATCATTTCTTTTTAAAATGGCTGCATGAGCCATCATTCTAGTCTTTGAATCGCACCACTATAAATAACTCCATACCATTCTCTGTTTCACCTCACAACACACCTTCCTCTCCCTGCAAAACTTGCACCCTCTCCTCCATTCTCTTGATACTTTTTTGTCTTCTTCAATGGCATCAAAGTTTATTTTTACCACTGTTGTTATACTTATGCTTCTGTGCTTGCTTCTTATGAGGGAGCCTTCTGGTTTGTCAATGTTCTTTTTCTTGTTACCATATAATTGTTTGAGGGACAAATGCATGGAATAACTGTTTTATTCATTCTTGTTGCTATTGCAGGTTGTGGTTCTGCATATGAAGGCTTTGGTGCTAATGCTGTTGGTCTCAGGGACATTCCAAACAGGAAGGTCTGTCACTCTTAACATATATAGGTGGTTCAAACTCCAAAGGGCATTTTTCTCTTTTTTGCTACTTAATTTTTATATGATCATTAGGTGAGAAAGATATTTTTTGGAACACAGCTTCTGGGGTACGTAGTACGTATATGTTGTGCTTCATTTCTATAACTTTATTTGCTTGTGCAGGTGCTGTCTGTTTTGAAGGATAAGAAAACTGTTCTAAAGGCAAGTTTGCAAGGATCATCAAGCATCAAGTATGGTGAAAAGCCACTGAGTTGGGAGTTGAGGAAGGTTCCTTCGGGTCCAGATCCCCTGCATCATAATGGCGTCAACCCCAAAAAGCCTCAAACCCCTTAAACTCCTTAAACTCACCAATGGAACTTGTATTGTGCTCTTGCCCTAGTTTTTGTTATTAGCGTGAACATCTATCTCTATGGCATAAGTTTATTGAAAAAAAATATTAACATACACTCGTTTTCTTTTTCATCTCTTTGTATTTCTCTCTTTCCTTCACCTCATCCACCCCATTTTCAGGTGTATGTTCATGGGTGCTCAAGTTTATTAGTGCTTTAGTTTTGACTTGTAGTAGAATTATATATTAATGTCATGTTGTTTCTGTACTCAGTTGTGTTAATTAAAAAGTATTCAATGCATGCACTCTTTCAAGTCTGGACTCAAATCTCGTTAAGCAAAAACCAATGTAAATAAAGTTAAATAAACCAGTGAAACATGATGGGATATACACGAGTTTGGAGCAAAGGAAAGAGAAAGAAACAAGAGTTATTGTCGTGGAACTTTTTTTTTTTATCTGCTAAAACATTGTGCACACAGCTCATTCATGGATTGGACATGAAGAACAGTGACATGATATGCTTTGGCACCTTTCACCCGAATACTACAAAAATATGTATCTGCAGATGCTTCTCTGCAATAACTAACCTGGAGCTTCTACATATTCATATCTATGCTCATGCTGACGCGGGTCAGTTAGATTTGACAGCAATGTTGCCAAGGTGACGCAAGCGAATCATTTCCATTTTCAAAAAAAATACCTGGATATCTAACCCAATACAACAGAGTGATCAAACCTAATAATGGGGGCAAAAAGTAACCGTATCCCATAACCAAATCCAGTAAATATTATCTGACCCTGTTATCGAAGGCATGAATGTTTTAAGAATGATATATTTTGTGAAATATTTGTTTATAGGATTATATTTTCTTCATTTCAAATTAAAATTATTTGAATGAGAGTTGAAAGAAAAAAAGTAAAAGAAGAGAAGAAAATAATATGTTATTTATTGATTATTGTTACAAAATTATTATTTTTAGTTATTTATTATTATTATTAAAAAAAAAAACTCACCAATGATGGATATCCATACATAATATATTATATCCGTGCTAGGGATGACAATTAAACTCGTCTCTGTGGGGATTGATCCGTCCCGCCCAGAGTTTGAAGGGAAAACTCGAGTTGACCGGGGCGGGAGCGGGTTCGGGTTTTCTCGCTTTAAAAAGTCGGGGCGGGGCGGAGATAAGTAATGCAATCCCCACTCCGACCCCAGCACGGTTCCAGTCCCGACTTTATATTTAAATTTAAATTTTAAAATATTAATATTTTAAAAGTATTTTCTTTTCTTTTTCTATTACATATAAGGTCATTTTTTATATTTTACCAATTTTTATTTTTCTTCTACCTATTTTTTAATTTTTTAATTTTTTTGTCTTTTTTAATCTTTTATATCAATTAATTTATTATATTATTCTCTCTTATATCTTGTAGTTTTTCATATTTTCTTAATCTCTCTCATCAATTTGTTTTTTTTCAATCTTTTCAATCAATTTGATGAACACAGTTAATTTTTTTATTCTTTATTTTTTTCTAAATATTTTATATAAATCTTAATAGTAACTAATATTATTTTATTTATAATTTATATTTATTAGGTTTTATTATGTCATTTGTTTATCTTATTATTCTTATTTATCATATATCAAATTTTATCTTAATAAAATAATTGTATTTTAAAGGATTAAAGAAATTGATAATTTAAACTTTTATTACTTTAAATTAATTAAATAATAATTAACTTATTAAATATTTCATTATAAACTATATATTTTATATTTTTAAATTATAACTTAAAAATGAATTAACTTATATATATAATCAAATGTTTGAATACAGTATTATAATAATAATGATAATTTTATAAGTATTCAAATATTTGAATACGATATTATAATAATAATAATAATGTTATAAATAAAAAATAATTAAATATTTCTTTTACATACATATTTTAATATAAATATAATAAATTAAAATGTATATTTAATTAATAATTATTATAAATTATAAAATTATAAATATTTATTTATATATAAAAAATAGATAATAAAATTAATTTATTATAAATGTAATTATTTTTTAAAAATAAGATAGATTGGATGCAGAACCCGAAACTCAGGATCAAGACGGCAACATGAATGATTAAAAAAAGTCGGTTGTGGGATCGGGAGTCAAAAACAGCCCAGCCCCGTTGCCATGCCTAATCCGTGCTACGTGCTTCTCCATATTCACCAACAATGGGCACCTTGCCGCAAAATAATGCAAAATACAGAGCCTGAAGTTGGAAAACAGTTTCACTGTGTACATATTTGTTTAGATTATGGCTAAGCCTCAAGAAATAGTGCCTTTCTACGCTACACTTCTCGACGCTTGCTCATCCTCGAAGCACTTAAAGAATCTAAAACGAATCCATGCTCTGACCATCACCTTAGGCATTTCACGCAATGGCTTCATTCGAAGCAAGCTTGTGTCTTCCTACGCTTGCTGTGCCCAATTGCACGAAGCCAATATCCTTTTCTCCTTCACCACTCGCCAACCCACTTTCCTTTTCAACTCTCTCATCAGAGCACATTCGTCTCTTTGCTTGTTCTCTAGATCCCTTTCCATCTTTCACCACATGCTCCTTGCCCACAAGCCCTTTGATTGTCACACGTTACCCGTGGTGCTCAAGTCTTGCGCTGGTTTATCGGCTCTTCGGCTTGGGCAACAAGTCCATGGGGCTGTTCTGGTTAATGGGTTTTCCCTGGACTTGGCAAATGCAAATGCTTTGATAAACATGTATGCTAAATGTGGACATTTGGTTAGTGCGCGCAAGGTGTTTGATAGAATGTGGCAAAGGAATGAGATTACGTTTTCAACCATGATGATGGGCTATGGAATGCATGGGAAGTGCGGGGAGGTGTTCGAGCTGTTTGATAAATTGGTGGAGGCAGGGGTGAGACCTGATGGTCTGACTTTTACTACAGTTCTGAGTGCGTGTAGTCATGGGGGGTTAATAGACAAGGGAAGGGAATATTTTGAGATGATGAAGGTAAGGTTTGGAGTGAAACCTGGGCTTCAACATTATACGTGCATGGTGGATATGTTGGGGAGGGTTGGTCAGGTTGAGGAAGCGGAGAAGTTAATTTGGAGAATGGAGGTTAAGCCTGACGAAGCTTTGTGGGGTGCCTTGTTGGGAGCCTGTAAAACTCATGGGAAGGTTGAGGTGGCTGAGAGGGTTTATGGAAGGGAACCTAGTGTTGCATCATCAATTTAAATTTGTTGTACCTGGAGTTAGCTCATCAGAGCATGCTGCTTAAGGATAAGCATGTCCATGTCGCGCATGGCCATACTTTAAATCTTTGACTATTCTTTCATAATATGAGATGCAATAATTGATCATCTCTTCCAAATTTATGTCCCAGTTAATGATACGCAATTTAGACTGGTACATGTAGTTGCAAAAGATATTTCTAGATTTCGTATCCATAATTTGTTACTTAGTCTGTAGTTTGTTATGCATGGGGTCTACCCCATTAAGTTATTTTAGTTTTTCTATTTTCGTTTCCGTTGTATATATATATACATTTCTAATTCAATAATATAGAATAAGAAAAGTTGTTTTGATCATTTTCTATATCTGCATGTATTCTCTCATGTTTCCATTTTTTCTTCATCATGGGTGCCAAGGTATTTGAGATGGTATCAAAGCTCTTTATCAAAATGATGAAGAGCTCTGCTCCGCACTCTCCTTCTTCTTCATTAATCTCTTTTCTTCGCCAATCATGAGTGAAGCACTTATCACCATGGATAATTTTTTATATCTCCATCTAAATGAAAACCCAGCAATAGCATTTGTTTCACCAGTTCTTGATTCTAGAAATTATCATTCATGGAACAGATCCATGATCACATCATTAAGTGCCAAAAATAAACTAGAATTTGTTGATGGAACTACACCTAAACCTTCAAAAGCTTATCCAAAATACGGAGCATGAAAACGCTGCAACAACATGGTTGTATCATGGATCGTACACTCTGTTTCTCTTTTGATTCGGTAGAGCATTTTGTGGATGGACAAGACAAAAGATATATGGCGTGATTTGAAATCACGTTACTCACATGACGATCTCTTACATATATCTGATTTACAACACGAAGCATCGTCGATGAAACAAGGTAACCTTTCTGTAACAGAGTTCTTTACCAAACTGCGTGTGATATGGGATGAGATTGAAAACTTTAGGCTCGATCCTGTTTGCACCTGCATCACCAAATGTTCTTGTGTTGTTCTTGGCACCATATCTCAGCGAAAGACTGAGGATCGTGCAATGTAATTCCTTCGTGGATTAAACGAGCAATACAACAACGTTCGTTCACATGTTCTTCTCATGGATCCAATGTTTGCCATCTCAAAAATTTTCTCATATGTTGCACAACAGGAATGCCAATTAATGGGAACCAACGTTGATAATATTGGATTAGATCCTAAAGAGAGTTTGATTAATGTTGTCACCTCAACTTCTCTCACGTGTGGATTTTGTGGAAGGATTGGACACACGAAAAACGTTTGTTACAGGAAGCATGATTTTCCTTCAAGCTATGATACTAGGAGTAAAGGAAATAATGTCAAGAGTGAAAAAATGTGTACCCATTGTGGAAGATCTGGGCATACTATTGATGTATGTTATAAGAAGTATGGATTCCCTCCAGGTCATAAATTCCATAATATGAAAAGTAATGCAAACAGTGTGGTGACAGTGAATAGTAAAGACACCAATGATCAAAAACAGCACCATGAGCCACAAGAATTTCGTTTTTCATCGCAACAATACAAGGCTTTGCTTGCCTTGATTCAACAATCACCTCGAGAGACTCCAGATTCTTCTTCCTACCATGTAAGCCAAAATGCTTCAGTTTCCTCATGCTCTTCTCAACCTTCACCCTCAGGTACATCCTCCCCCCACACAACTTCTTGGATCCTTGACTCAGGAGCAACCGATCATATTGTTTCATCCTTAAGCCATTTCCATTCGTGTACATACATTATTCCTGTATTAGTTAAATTACCAAATGGAAATCATGTTCATGCTACCCATTCTGGCACAGTACACATTTTTCCTTCTTTATTTCTGACTGATGTCCTCTATGTTCCATCTTTTAACTTCAATCTCATCTCTATTTCTAAACTTACTTCAACCAATGCCTGTAAACTCATTTTCTCCACTAACTCTTGCATTTTATAGGACACGATCACCCAAGCAAGGATTGATACAGTTGAAACAAGACATGATCTCTACAACCTTATCTCTACCCCTCCAAACAGCTCCATTGTTCATTCAATAATTGTTCATCCAAAATGTAATATCATACCCATTGATCTCTGGCATTTTAGAATGGGTCATCTATCCCATGAACGTTTACGCGTCATGCAATCTTCCTATCCTTTTTTACGAACTAATGACAAGTCTTTTACATGCAACATCTGTCATTATGCAAAATTTAAAAAGCTTTCGTTTAATTCCAGTACTTCACATACTACTCAATGCTTTGATATTTTACATATGGACATATGGGGTCCATGTTCTAAACTTTCAATGCATGGACATCGTTATTTTCTTACAATGGTTGATGATCATTCTCGTTTTACTAGGTTCATCTCATGCACACTAAGGCAGAAGCACGTAACATCATCATGAATTTCTCTACACACATTGAAAATCATTTTAACAGTAAAATTAAAACTATCCGAACTGACAATGACTCCGAATTTCTCATTCATGAATTCTTCACATCTAAAGGCATAGTTCATCAAACCACATGTGTTGAAACACCTGAACAAAATGATATAGCTGAACGTAAATATCAACATCTCTTAAATGTCACTCATGCTCTTCTTTTTCAAGCAAACTTACCGCCTAGTTTCTGGTGTTTCGCACTTCCTCATGCCACTCACTTAATCAACTGCATTCCAACCCCTTTTTTAAACAATATTTCCCCATATGAAATTCTTTATGGTCAACCATATGATATCTCAAATTTACTTGTTTTTGGTTGTCTATGTTACATAAACACTCTCAAAGCTCATCGCCAAAAATTAGATCCCCGGGCTCATCCATGCATTTTTCTTGGTTTTAAACAAAACACTAAGGGATATCTCGTATATGATCTTCATTCTAATACCATCACCACTTCCCGTAATATTACTTTCTATGAAGACCACTTTCCATCCCTTTCTCCTTCACAGTCACCTTCTTCATGTACCCATCCTTCCCTCATTCCTTTCACAAATGAAGACCCTATTATACCTCCATCCTCACCTTCACCTCCCTCAACCTTACGACGGTCTACTCGTCCTAAACACCCACCCGCTTACCTTCAAGATTACCACCGTGCTCTTGCTACAACTGGTATCGATTCCTCATTGGGTGACAGGTATCCTCTAAGCTTTGTTTTATCTTATTCCCGTCTTTCATCCAATTTTCGTCACTTTATTTTCTCCATCTCCACTAATATTGAACCCTCTTCCTATGTCAAGGCCTCTCACCATGATTGTTAGATCAAGGCTATGCAAGCTGAGTTACATGCTTTGAAAATGAATAAAACCTGGTCTCTTAATACTCTTCCATCTCATAAGAAGGCCATTGGATGTCGTTGGGTCTATAAAGTCAAATTTCATGCCGATGGCTCCGTGGAACGTTATAAAGCTCGCCTGGTCGCCAAAGGTTACATGCAGGTGGAAGGTTTGGATTTTCTAGACACTTTCTCACCTGTGGCTAAGTTTACCATTGTCCGTTTGTTACTTGCCTTAGCTTCTCTTCAAAATTGGCATCTCAAACAACTTGATGTTAACAATGCTTTTCTACATGGTAATCTTGATGATGAGGTTTATATGCAGCTTCCTCCTAGTCTTTCCACCGATAATCCCAATCTTGTTTGTCATCTTCATCGTTCTCTTTACGGTCTTAAGCAAGCGGGTAGACAGTGGTTTCATCGTCTTTCAACTTTTCTGGCTTCTCATGGTTATCTTCAATCCAGTTCTGATCATTCCCTATTCATGCGTTTCATCGACAACACAACTACTTTTCTTCTTGTCTATGTAGATGATATCATTTTAACAGGCAATAATATTGATGAGCTCCACCACATTACTATTCTGCTCGATCAGACTTTCAAAATAAAAGATCTTGATGATCTCAAGTTCTTTCTTGGTCTCAAGGTGGCTCGTTCTACAGCATGTATTCATCTTTGCCAACACAAGTATACATTGAATATTCTTTTGGATGCTGGAATGCTTGGTTCACGACCTGTTTCTACACCCATGGATTACTCCCTCATTTACAGGCTTCTTTTGGTTCTCCTCTATCTGATGCTTCTGCTTCTTCCTATCATCGCCTTGTTGGTTGTCTTATTTACCTTACCAATACGCAGTCGGATATCACACATGTTGTCCAACAACTTAGTCTGTTCATGGCCCATCCAACAACTGCTCACTCTCAGGCTGCTTATCGTGTTCTTCGCTACCTCAAAGGTTCTCCTGGTTCTGGTATTTTTCTCCATGCTCATGGTGATTTGCAGCTTAAGGCATTCAGCAATTCTGATTGGGCTGCATGTCGTGATTCTCGTCGCTCCATAACTGGTTTTTCCATATATCTTGGCAACTTTCTTGTTTCGTGACGTTCCAAGAAGCAAACCACTGTATCTTGCAGCTCTTCTGAAGTTGAGTATCGTGCTCTTGCTTCCACTACCCGTGAACTTCAATGGCTTACTTATGTTCTTCAAGACACTCGGATCTCCTTTGTTCAACCAGCTTTGCTCTATTGTGATAACAACTCTCTATTCAGATTGCCTCCAATCAGGTTTTTCACAAACACACCAAGCATATTCACATTGACTGTCATATTGTGCGTAAACGACTCAATAATGGTAATGGTACGCTGAAGCTTCTATCGATTTCCTCATCCATGCAAATTGCTGATATTCTAACCAAAGTTCTTCCTCCTTCGTCTTTCATTTGTCTGTATTCCAAGTTGAGAATGATAAATATCTATTCCGAGCTTGAGGGGAGCTCTTATCCATAATTTGATACATCTTATATGTAGTTTGTTATACATGGGTCCACCCCATCAGGTTATTTTAATTTTTCTGTTTTCGTTTCCGTTGTATATATATACATTTCTAATTCAATAATATAGAATAAGAAAAACTGATTTGATCATATATATATATATATATATATATATATATATATATATATATATATATATATATATATATATATATATATATATATGTATTCTCTCATGTTTCCATTTTTTCTTCATCATGGGTGCCAAGGTATTTGAGAAGATTGGTATGCTTGTAAAAAGGAAACATTTGTATAATCAGTTACTTTCTTGAACTGAATTAATGACTTTCCAAAATTACTCCTCCTCGTGATATTCTTTTCCAGAGAAATCTGGAACATAGCCACATACTTGCAGCTCAAAAGACAGAAGTTCCAATGCTGCGTAAATATGATCGTTCTCCTCATGAGATTTATCACCAGCAACAAATTTATGAATGCTGGAGTCAATCTCAATGGAACTAAAGCCTGGTATCTTCTGTATGCCACGCTCCTTCATTCTCCTTCTAACCTTGTTCGCACCATCCCACTTTCCAACTGCTGCATATATATTAGAAAGAAGCACATAATTGGAATCTTTGCCAGGGTCCAATTCAATAAGATATTTCATCACGTTTTCTGCCAACCCAATGTTCCCTTGAGTCCTACAAGCTGCGAGCAATGACCCCAAAACCACTTCATTTGGCTTCATGGGCATATTCTTTAACACATTCCATGCCTCCTCTAACCTCCCCGCTCTACTATAGAGATCCACTAGACAACCATAATGCTCGATTCTAGGTGAAATTCTACGATCTCTCTTCATATTTTCAAAGATTCGGAGTCCTTCGTTAATTAGTCCAGCATGACTACAAGCCATTAGAGCACCTGTGTAGCTTACTCCATCTGGCTTGAACCCTTCCTCCTGCATTGAATTGAAGTAGTTCAAAGCTTCATCCGCAAACCCATTAACAGCGAAACCCACAATGATGGAGTTCCACGACACTAAAGTTCTGAGGGGCATTCTATCAAACACCTGATGAGCTAACGCTATGCATCCACATCGAGAATACATGTCTATCAAGGAGTTGGAAACTTTAACATTGTTTCTGAAAGTATGTGTCATCACAAGTCGGTGCACCCACAAGCCAAGACCCAGTGTGCCCAAGTTAGCGCACGCAGAAAGAACAGCAATAATTGTCACATAGTCAGGTGCCACCCCAGCGATCTGCATTTCTCGAAAGCACTCCAGAGCTTCCTCGTGATAATCTTTCTTCACAAACCCACCAATTAGGGCAGTCCAAGAAATAGCATTCTTCACGGGCAATTGATTGAACACTTGGAGGGCATCTTCAATTTTCCCATTCCTCATGTACCCATCAATCATTGTGTTCCAAGACACCAAATTTCTGACAAGCATTTGATTGAATGCCAACCTAGCAAAATCCACAAGACCGCATTTTGCGTACATGTCAATTAGCGCAGTGCCCACCATGACATCGTTCATGTGCAGGCCCAATTTGCATGCATGTGCATGTACGGTAGATCCAAAGGAAATACTACTGTGCGAAGGATGATGAGCGCAAACAGAGAGGAGTGTGATGAGAGTGATATGATTAGGTTCAATGTTAGCTTCTCTCATTCGCACAAACTCGGAGGCAGCTTTAACCAAATGACCACTTTTGCAATACTGAGCTATGGAAGATGTCCATGCTACAACGGGGTCGGTGTGTTTTAGGGAGAGGCTTTGGTTGGTGTTGGAGTTAGTAGTAGAAAATTTGGAGTGATTTTGATTTGGAAGTGAAATTGGTGAAGATAATTTTGGAGGGTGGGGAAGCTGAGTTGGCATAATCGCGCACGCAGGAAGGATCATTCTCCTTCGGAATCAAAATCCCATGTCCAGGAATTAAGCTTCTCTGTTTTGGTTGGGATAAGAACAGAAGACATCTATAATCGATCAGTTTTTTTTTTTTTTTTCTTTTTTTATTATTATTAAATTATCTTTCTTTTATTATTATTTTTTTCTTTTCCTTTTTCTGTGTCTATTTTTTCTCTGCCAAATATAATTTAAATAAAATTATTAGAAAATATCACACTAGTTAAGCAAGTTTTGATGAGACGAATGTAAAAGTCTATTTTCTTGTGGCAGGTATTCGCATAACAGATGCTAACGTCTATAGTGAAGTTTATTAATATCAAAACTCTAAACGAAGGGGCACAACTGAAGTTTATGCTAACCTCTTATGCTAAAGTTTCTTTTCATTATACTCTACATTTTAGAATTCACGAAGTAGAAAGTCACAGAAGGGGCACATCTGAATCTACCCGAATTATGCCCCTAATTCTCTCCCATAAAATCCCTCACTGTCGAAAGTCAGTCTCCCCCACAGTATGAACACAAATTTCAAATGAGAAATTTGACAAATGGTTTCCTGGCCTTTTGTTTTTACAGATTTTATTGGGAAAAAAAAAACACTTAGGCTTCCAAGACTTTATCAATGCAGGTGAAAAATAATAGGCAACTATTCGCATGGATAATAGGCAATTATTATCAATACAATAATAATAAAACCTCCTGTAATAACATGGATAGGATAACAAGTTAACAACATAGCTGAATGTGACTTGTCATGCAGAATCATTACTATCAAGTATAAATTGACGTTCCTGTATACAAGGCCACCACATAAAGAGAAGAAAATATATATTTATCTACACCTTGGTATGGTATTTTAATGTCCAAAAACAGTACAAAATCCAGAGACATAATTTTTGCCTCTTGACTGCAGAGACAGAAATGGTGAATCCAAGTGAATCAGAATAAGGACACAACAGGATCCACAAACTGCAATAAATTTGCCTGAAAATTATCTTGCATCAGCAGAAGTAAAAGAGTCTGCAAACCCAGTGGGCCTAGCTGCAATACTGCTTCTGCTGTTGTCAAGACTAGAAGAATAGCTGAACTCTTGGCTTTCTGCTTCCTTCCAAATCTTCAACATTTGAGGAAGTGGTCTTGTGTAGTCAATGCCAGAGTAGCAATCTAATTCATCGTCAACTGGTTGCCATTTTTCCACCAATGCTGCCAGGACATTGACTGCATGACCCATATCTGGCCTATGATTTGCTTCCCTTGCAGTGCAATGTCCAGCAAGTTCAGCTACAATACTTACGCTCTCAAAAGTTTCGTCAGATACTTCCACAACTGGATCAATGGCAGCCATAAGCTTCTCCTTGCTTGATTTAATCCGCCAAAACCATTCAGCCAAGTACCGGCTTTCCTCTGGCCGGCTCTCATCAAGTGCCACAAGTCCAGTCAGAAGTTCCATCAAAACCACACCGTAGCTGAACACATCAACTTTTGTGGTGATTTTCCCCATCACTGAATCACATGGAAACTTACTTAGTATGGAAATCTAGGAAGGCAAATCAAACATACTGAGATGATAAGACATCACACATTGCAATGGTATGAACTCAACTGTTAGATGAGCCAAGCAAGGATCGTATTGCTTTCAAGTTTTGAAACATTATGACATGTAATTTGACATCATTTCTTGTTAACTTCTGTTTTTTCAAATACAGACAAATAAAAAAAAAAGACCTCTTGCTCACTACTAAGATGTTTTCATTCTAAGAACAATGTAACTGAATATAAATTAACAGAAACTACATGCTGATATGTAGAGAGGGTATAATGATTCCATTATGCAGTTAATGCTCAATAATACATATACATCATGGTCAGAAGAAGTGATTTTAAGCAAGCCATACCTGCATATTCAGGGGCAAGGTATCCAAATGTCCCAGCAAGTTTGGTTACTACAGACTTCTCACTGTCTGGGGCATGCTTCACCAAACCAAAATCTGAAACTTTAGCACGGAAATCATCACCCAATAAGATATTAGAAGACTTAAGATCTCGATGAATAAAAGTCTGACGGGCAAGACTGTGAAGGTATTCTATCCCTCTAGCAACATCTAGTGCTATTGCAAGCCTCTTTGACCAAGACAAAGGCTCCAACTTTAAGCTCTTCCAGTGAAAAAGATGCTGGCTTAAAGCTCCAAGAGACATATATTCATAAACCAAAAGTCTTTCATTGCCTTCAATGGAATACCCCAACAAGGATACCAGATGCCGGTGCCGGACCTTGGAAAGAACAGCTATTTCGGCTTGAAACTCCTCTATTGCCTTACTGCTAATAACCCCATGCTCCATTCTCTTCACTGCTATTTTTGTCCCGTCTTCTAGTTCTCCCTTGTAAACAGTCCCAAACCCTCCACGACCTAGTTCATTTTCTGAAGCAAAGTCATTGGTAACCTTGCGTAGTACTTGTATAGAGATGACAAGGTTGCCATCCTCAATTGTGTGACAGTTTTGAGTTTCACCACTAATGTTACCAAGAGAACTTGTACCAGTCTTTGTTGACAAACTTCCGGTGGTGTTTGAAACTGCAATTTTAACTATGTTGTCAGGATCAGATGGATTGTGAGGGTGAACCACAATGGAACTTGGAGCATCCAAAGAGGCTTTTTTGTTCTTCCTACAATATAGGAAGAAATAAACAATCAAAAGAGCTATAACGGTAAACACAACAACTCCAGCCACTATTGCTACTGTTTTGAATCTTTTCAAGTCATTTGGCTTGGATTGATTTGATCTTGAACTCTGATCTGGAACAGGTGGCTTATGAGAGGATGGAGGCTGTGATGGATTTTGTGGTGAAGGGCTGTTAACAGGCATAGGACTGGGACTTCCTCCAGTTTCATTCGGAAGAAGAGGATTACCCATAATGATAACCTTCACATCATTATGAAAGTTTGGAAATGGAGGCTCAAGGTTGTTATCGCTTAAATCCAACAACTCCAAAGATTTTAATTTGGTAAAATTGGTGGGAACAGAGCCGGTTATGTTGTTTCCTGCTAGCCTAATTTCACGTAGTGAATCTAACTTCGCAAGTGAGGGACTTAGAGTACCGTTTAGCTTGTGTCTAGGTAGATTGATAATAGATATCTCTGAGTTGGAATTGCAGCTCAATCCAAACCATGACCCTGTGCTGCGTGTGCATGGTTCATCACCAGACCAATCAGAGATGAGAAACGAGGGGTAATTCAGCTTATCTAGAAAATCCAGCAAAGTAGTAACATGAGGGGCACATTCAAGCCCAGGCTGATTTTGACAAAATAAATTGTACATGTAAGAAAAATTGGCAGCCTTGAATTTCGGTATCGGACCCATTAGCATGTTATTGTTTAACACAAGGATATCAAGGTCCATAAGTGCTAGAGACTCTGGAATCAAGCCAACAAGTTGATTACTATTGAGATTGAGTTCCTTCAAGTAAGTTAGATTTCCAATATTCTGAGGTATTGGCCCAGTGAACTGGTTTCCATGTAACCAAACCTGTCTAAGGAAAGCCATTGAAGCAATAACATCAATAGGACCACTCAACCCACCACCTTCTTGATCATTCAACCACAAAACCTGGATTGAAGATTGGGCAAAAGTTGCTGGTATGGCACCAGACAGCTTGTTACCCGAAAGCCTCAGATTTGTGAGAGATGGCAATGTGCCCAGAAAATCTGGTAATGGTCCAACCAAGTTACATTGCACCAGAGAAAGATTGGTCAACTGCTCTGACTTTTCTAAATCCAAGGGAAACAACCAACCACTGCTCATATTCAGTGGATTTTCTTCCAAAGACAAGACCCTGAGGCTGCTAAGTCCATTAAAGAAATCAGATGGGATTGCATCAAATTTATTGTAATCCAAGAAAGCAAATTCCAATTTGGATAGTCCCCTAAAAGTAGGCAACGTCCCACTAAGATTGTTGCGTTGGAGACCCAAATTGTACAGTTCTGAGAGTTGATTAAAGTTTTGAGGCAATGACCCTCTAAGACCAAGATTTTTAGCCTGAATCTGATTTACTCTATCTCCAGAACAGTACACAAAAGGCCATAAAGGAGGACCACAGGGATCATCTCCCTCCTCTGGCCACTTCAAAAGCTCCGGATTTTCCAACCCTTTTCTGAAATCATTCAAAACTTTGACATCATTTGGGTTTGTAGCGCCATAACTCATTGTAATGATTAAAAAAAAACAAAACAAGACGAAGACTTCTTCTATCTGAACACCTTCCATGGTTAGCCTAGGAAAACAAAAAGAAGAAAACAAAAGACAGATCAATACAAGAACTTTATCAGTAAAATCAGAACCCCATTATATCAGAATCCAAAATGAGACACTAGCCACAACACTCGAGGAAAAATGACTAATGAGAAGCTTAGAAGTAACTAGAACATGAAATGAGTGAGTCCGAGTGAGTGCTTGGTAGTTACCCTTACCTATAAGTATGCATAAACAAAGAGTTTTTCTTCAGAAAATGTTGAATGGATCAGAAGAAATTGAAGTTCCCAAAATTGAGAAAGAGACAGGGAGGAGAATGTGCCAAAGCTGAATGTCATCAACTTTTCACATTTCACGATGGAAGGAGGGAACCCTAAACAAACTGTCAGTCTACTCCACCAAGTTTGTCCCTCTCCAATCCCTCTTTTTCCTTTGTTTTCTTTTTCTCTTTGCCTCTTACCATTGGTTGCCAGTGATTTCTATTAAAATATTGTGAAGCATTTCAAAAGGAAGAAGAAAAAAAAAAAAATGGAAAGAAGTTAACAATGATTTTGTCCCACATGTTTCTATTAACAAGTAGAAAGTAGAAGGCACGTAGGAATTATGTGGGCCTTGAGATTTACTAATGGGAAAAATTATGTTTTTAATCTTTTATATTTCCAGACAACTAGATCAAATCTCTACAATTTGAAAAATTAATTTAAAGCTCAAATTTTACACAATTCAAAATATATTATTTTTTAAAAAGTTAGTATATTTTTTAAATTAAAAGAAATTAATATTCCTAAAGTTTAAAATTCAAGTTCTATAAAATATAGAATCTTTGACTTCATTTAACTGAAAATACTAATCCAAAAAAAAAATCTATTATTTATTTGATGGTGAGAGACTCTGAAACATGGGCATGTGCAATTCGAGGTTACATTCTGAAGGCATCTGAATTTGTAGTGAGAATGGAAGCTAGAACTCAGGTAAAGCTGAGGATTTTGTAACCTTGTGCTGTTGTAAAACAATGGTCTTTATTTTCCTGTGGTAATGCAAAAGCAAAAGACAGAAACAAAAGAGTGGGTCCCTTTGTTTAGGAAAGTTCTATAGAATGTGGTGGCGGGTCAATTTAGGAAAGTGCTCCGCTGATGTCGGTACCAAGATAATTGATCAAATGCCACTTTTTCTTTTCTTTTTCAATAAATTCTTTTGAGTAAAACTATTCAGTTTCTTCAAGATTTTTCTTTCCACTGTTTTGGAGACAATTTGTCTATCTTTTTCCTCTTGGTAGATATACAAACTAAAAACCAGAAACTACTTGCTTTTATTGCAGTACATCTCCTGCTTTAGACATTTTTTATTTTTTATAAAAAAATTAGTAAGTTCGAAATTCATTTGTAATAAAATAAAAATTTAATTCTATAAAAAATAATATAAAAAAAAAACTTTTTTTTACTATAATTTATAGTTTTAGTTATTTATCTTTTTCTGCAATGGATTGAGTGCGAAGACTGAGGTGGGGAGGGTGCAGTGGGGATAGGGTGAGGTGGGAGCATAGAGATTAGAAAATATTTTTTTAAAATTAAAATAATGGTTAAAAGTCATTAATATGTGTAATGAAAATATTTTAGATGTGTTGTTTTTTACAGTTTTAAATAGTTAATATCTTTAAATTATTAATATCATTAATTTTAAATTAATGAAATGATTACTTTGATTCACTTTAGAATAAAAAATAAATAAATATTTATTCAAAGACAAAAAGTAATCTACATATAAAAGAAAAGGTAAAATTCAATATTTCATTTTATTATCTTATAAATGTTGACAGGAAAATTCATTCTAACATGCTTAAAAGAAATTACATATAAAAAATTAAGCAAAGTAAAATTATTTTGTATTCAATTTTTTTTCACTATTAACTTTTTTTTTCATATTAAATCAAGAGAAAAAAATGGAAAATAAAAATACGGATTATTATATAAATTTTTAATGAAAATGACAGAAAAATTTGGAAAGTTAAAATCATATTTTTCTTTAATTTAATTTTTAATATTTTTTCTTTCTCTTATTATATGTTTTGCCTTTTACGAAATAAATTTTAAAATAATCTTTAACTAAAAGTTATGTTTAAGATCATAGTGATATTTTTATCTCTACCATATGTTAATTTATTTTATTGTATTTTTTTAGTATTTTAATTATTTTGGAAAAACACATCTACGGTTGGTGTTTATAAATAATAAATGTTCACTTTAAACAAACATACATATCACTTTTAAGTGATTTATATTAAACTCTTATATATTTTATTTTAATGATTAATTTTTATAAATATTCATATTTTTATAACTTTTTAATTTATATTTTACTTGATAACTTAAAAATGACTTATTTATTATAAAAAATTAATATAATATTTTAATTTGAAATAATGGTAAATTTATATGAATTTTTAAATTTGTATAAAGATTATTTTTTTGAAAAATAAAATTAATTCTTTTTTAAAAAATTGTAAGATCAAAATTAAAATTAAAATATTTTTATAAAAATTATAAAATATTAAAACAACTATTATATGTTATTATTATAATATTGTTATTATTTTATAAATAAAAAAATATATTTTTTTTATTTTTATTTAAAATTAAGGTAAAAAATTCTTAAATTTATTTATTTATTTGTAATAAATATGATTTGAGAGGATAGTTATTGAAAATTATTAGGTAAAAGATTATTAGTAATATTTTAAAAATTTTCATTATTACTTAGATAAACTTGATAATAATTACTTGAAACATACAATTTTATTTCGAAATTAATCACCTAAAAGTCTAATAGAATTTTATGAAATCATAACATAAAGTTTATGCTTTAGACAATTAATATTTAATAAATATACATCTATTAAAATACGGATTATTTCAAGAAATAAGGTAGATTAAGAGGTGGGGTTTTGAGTGATGCATTCACACAAAGTCAATAACAAGGGTGAATTATTGTTCATACAATCAATGAGGGTTTAGGTTTGGTAGCACCAAAGAATGACCCACCTAAAATAAATGATTTTGCTGCTAGGAATAAAGTCATACACATGCATATGCCAATGAAAATTGATTCTACAAAGACATAATTAAGGTGGGGGGTGGAAAGAGAATTTTGCACCATGCCACATGATATTGTAATTTAACTGGAGGTTGGAGTTAATTAGAGAAGTTTTATTGCAGGGAGGAATTTAGGGTTTTACTAAAGATATTTATATTTTTGTAATTAATGTGGGAAAGTTTTCTTCACAAGACATGTTATTTCAACTTTAAAATTACTTTTCCTAAAGCATATACAACTTGACTTTAGTTTAGCATCCCAAGTAACTTTTGGTATCTTTCACTAAAAAAGCATCATTGCATACGAAGTTCAATCCTATCCCTTCTTATGGGAAGATTTAATGTCAACATGCATTAACATTATCCAAGTTGTGATTTTTAAAACAATGTTAGGTTATGGAATTTCTGAATTTTTGGTGCAGTATCCAACCATGTCCGAATATACCCAAATAATAAACCCTAGTGAAAGGTTTAACACTAATAAAAGATATATTTAAGCAATAAGAATGGTTCACAAATTAAATCAGAATTAAAGGGTGTAATATTCTTTTAGTCAAACTTGTTTATGGTTTTCATCATATGTCTAACCAGTTTTGTTCTCAAAACCATAAAGTTTTTATTTAGTCTATTTTGACCTAGAAGAATTAAGGTTTTTTATGATAGATCGCACAATGATTTTTAAAATAAAATATTCTATAAAACTTTTTAACTATTTGACAATTTTTCGAAATTATTTTTCTACTTAGATAAATACACATGCTTTTTATATAAAACTAAAACTAATTTGAAAGTAAATTTTGTTGTGTTAGATATACATTCAAAGTTTGATGAATGTGTATTTTCTCTATCATATTATAATACGATCCAATATTTTCAAAAACGAATCACATTATAAATATAAAATGAGATAAAATTAAAAAATTAAGTGACATAAATGATTTTTTTTATAAATTTAATTTATAGTTTTTTATATTAAAAATAAAATTATATATTTTTATATAAGGAAATCTTCATTATTTAAAAAATATTTTATTATAAATTTTGTGGAGACTTATTTAATATTATCAAAATTGTTTAAATAATTTTAAGTAATTTTTTCTAATTTTAAAAAGCTTATCTATAAAATTTATAATAAAATAATAAATTTTATTAAAAACTCTATTTAAAAATACTCTAATTAATTCGTGTACATACATGAATCCTTGCTCGTTGCTTATTAGGATATTGAAAATAAAGTACACTTCAATTTTCATCCTCAGTCCACGGCGTCCATTGCACAACTTTCCAAACTTGAAATATCTAATTAGTTAAGTGGACTTGGTCTATTGGTGCTTTTTCATTTGTCAGTAAAAAATTGTTATGGCTATGTTTTTGTTGTAAGACCATCTTATTCATTTTTGCCGTAATCATGTTTTGAGGAAGCAGATTAGTGATGGCATCTTCTGAAAGCAAACCAGAGTGGCGTGCAATGGAAGAGTTCAACCAACTTTGTTTATTTACACTTTTTTCTACGCTCCTTCCACGGCCAAGACTGCATCAATGTAATTGATTCAATTAGTGCAACAAGCATCCACTAATTGTGGTTAGTCTTGGTTTGGATGTGCTGCAAACTATCCACTTCTTAAATTTTTTATATGTGGTTTGTCTTATTTTTTACACCACTAATTTTTATGTTCAAATTATACCTACTACGAAGAATCAATTGATTATTATAATGATATAAATAGGTTATTAACAAAAAACAATGAATTACTTAAAATGTGATTTCAATTGTTCAATGTCAGAAGCAACATAAATGTTCTCAGATGTCCCAAACAATACTAACAATCATTTTATTATTAATATAATATGCACATTGTGCTGGAACAGAATAATGAGATTGTAAACTCCTTAATCAATAACCAACTCAATCCTAATCAAGTGAAACAAAATAAACTCAGCTCAATTTGTGAAAATATAATTGGATTTTCAGTTGGATATACCAAGTTTGGAGTTCAATCTCATACTCCATGGAGGAAGTATCTCACAAGTTTCTCCAGAAGGGCACTTTATCTTTATGATAATTCTTAATGGCTTCTATAACTTTAACTGAAAATGTCTCGTCCTCTGGGTATCCAGCAATAGGATCTGATAGTGGAGTGATTGGTAGGTTGAGAACCCCCTCAAGCGTTGCATGTAAACAATATGCAGAATATGTGATATGATATCCACCTTCCTGCACAATTAGAAGGCGCCCATCACTCTGACTTTTCGCAAGATTATGAATAATCCGCCCAATTTCTCTATAGCCCTCCATTGTTAAGCATTGTCTTCCGTTGGGATCAAACTGAGGCACATGAGGTTGTAATGTCAGTATAACTTGACTTTTTCATACTGTAACCTGGACTGAACATTACAACATAGCCACCCAGATAAGGCTACTGTTGTCGTAATCTTAGAACAAATAAGTGAGGTGATTAATCCAATGCAACAAAGAATGTGGATGATGAACATCAGAGTGTAATAATGTTGCAACCATTAAATTACAGTATGCAGATTGAATGTTTTCGTTGAGGGTTGAGGAGGATAATTGGCACACTTGCTAAAAGTGCCATGCAATCAATCTGTGAGTGATTTCAAGGAAATGGACCATTTGGTTATTTATAAGACATAAGAATTTGGAAAGACAGCCTCATTGTCCATGTGTACAAGGGATTAGTCTCACTGCACTCAGTGTGAGGACACCCAGGTCAAAATGTTCATAACAGTTAATTAAAAAACTAAACCATGGCCGTTCATAACAGTTAATTAAAAAACTACACATCAGTGCTAATGTCTTTTTCATATAATCAATTAATCACCCTCACATTAGAGCTATGATTATTAAATAAATCATGAAGAAACCCACAAGAGAACCTAAAAAGTGATCACATCAACACTGACAGATCATAGTGACTTGACCAGTGAAAGTTTGATAGTAGTCTTAGTAACATGTTTGCCTTTTGGAAGGTATCATATTTTCAAAATTCAGTAAAACATTTGTTGGACTGATGGAAGGTACCAAACTCAAAGTTGTTTCTGCACTCACTTATCTGTTTCATTCTATTATGCTGTCTAACTTTTCATATCATGGTTAAAAAACTAGGGGCGTCCCTTGAAAGTCACATGTCACTCCGAGTAACTTATCAGGTTTTGATTTATCTGTGAGCATGAAATCTATGCAAAAAATATTAATTGTGTACCAAAGAAAATGATAACTTACTGCACTGGAGTCTTGTCCAGCAACCAATATTATCATATCAGGTCCAAACTTTTGGATTGATGGAACAACCAACTCATTGAAGGCACATATATATCCCTTGTCCCCAGTTCCATTTGGTAGAGGTATGTTCAAGTTATAGCCATAACCTTCTCCTTCGCCTAGCTCATCAACGGATCCACTTTGGGGATGAGATGGACCCCAAGATCCATGATTCATATGAAGAGAGATGGTAAGAACCTTATTAGATCTATAAAACCCCTCTGCTGTGCCATTTCCATAATGAACATCAATATCTATAACCGCAACCTTCTTGCACCCAGAATCTAGAGCCAATTGTACTGCTAGACCTGCATTGTTAAGGAAACAGTAGCCATCAGCCTGAGAAGGCTGAGCATGGTGACCAGGGGGCCTAACCAAGGCATAAGCAATTTTTCCATGGCCATCCAGTAAATGCTTCATTGCAGAAAGTGTAGTCCCAGCAGCAAGAAGTGCAGCATCCCATGATCCAGGGTTCAAGAATGTCCCAGCACACATCTCCTTCCCCCCTCCTTTATCAGCTTCTAAGAGTTCATTTACGTATTCTAGGAAATTACAGCATTTCAAAACATATCATACACTGTTTCATATCAATCCCCAAATTGTCTCCAACACAATTATATATATCCATATCTGTGTTATAATTTTTTAGGACTATTTTTAGAAAGTTTAACTTATTTTTTCATTCTTTTAATTAACCCACTTTAGGTGTTCTCTTTACTCGCTTGATACACAATGATTTACATCATTTGAAAGCATTTCATACGTTGTTTCACATCAATCCCCCAATTATCTCCAGAACCAACTTCATAATATATCTCTATTTCTATATTATAAATTTGAGTAATGATTTTAGAGAGGGCAACTCTTATTTTTCTTATTGTATAAATTAACTTACTTTGTGTACTTTATTAATCTAAAATAATATCTTGAAATAAATGATTATTAAAACTTATTTTAATATTTATTCTTAAAATAAGTGAATCTATTATTAAATTAATTTATAATATATATATATATATATATATATTAAAATAATATCACTTATTTTTACATGATTAAATACCTAATTAAAATGAAAAATAGTTTGGAACTTATTCATCATTAAGTCAGAGATTTACCTATTAATTAAACCATCTAACAAATCCTATTATCTTTAAATTAAAATCAAATTAAATATTATTTTTATATTAATTTAATTTATTAAAAATTATAATAAAATGATTTGCATTTATATAATCAAATAACTAATGACTATACAAAAAAATTATTTGCTCGATTTATAATTGCACAGTTACAATACAATGCTAGTTTATAAAGGAAAACACATTTGTCATCGTCCCAACCCAAGCCCTAAATTCTGCTTCAATTGTGAGCAACTGCTAGTAACTAAGGATGACAGAAATCAAATCCATAAAATCTCAACATTTCTTTATGCAAATCACGAAAAATTTACAAAAATTCCATTTTCTACTAAATTGAGAATATTAACAAGTAATAACAACCTCTATGATATGTCAATATACCCAATTAAGTTAAAAATATAATGATGATGGGGAAAGAAAAGGGTACCAGTAGTGTGAAAGGAAAGAAGCTCAGAGATGAGAGCAGGTCTACCACTGTTCCAAGAAATGTAAGGAGAGATGGGACCCCTTTTGAGGATAGACACCATATTCCGAACTCTGTCTGAGTTTTCAGGGTGCTTCTCCAACACCTCTAAGAACCCTGGATCCATTCCCGTGTCAAATAAACCAATTCCAGTGTCGTGCTTCACCATTCTTTCTTCCCAGAATACGTCAATTTTCGCACCTGCACCTGCACCTGCATCAGCCATGCTGCACCCTCCTTCGTTCTCGCGACTTCTCACTTCTTTCTGCAACAACAACACAACTCCTGTATGCCCAAGTGGGCTCGCGAATACCTAACAACTAAACCCAATGGGCCTATTGTGGGCCTCTTTGCTTGTGCTACTTGTTATCTTTCTATGGGAATTGCTATTCCCACCCTTTTTTGCTATGTATACCTCCTTGATGTTGTTTATTTTTTACAAAATAGTCTTACCGGACACACATTTCTAATTATTCCATTAAAAATCATATAAAAAAAGTTTCGAACATCCAACCAAAATCATGAAACGGATAGAATATTCCATCTTTATATATAATTTTTAAACCAAAGTAAATCTCAACTTTAATGATTTATTTTAAAATTTACAATTTTTGTAATAACTATGTTACTTTGCTAATTTAGTAGAATAAAAGATATTAACAGTTTAACACTATATTTCAAGAGTGACATAAGAATGTACGGCTGGTTTCACAATTCTAATAACTGGATATATTAAATTTGTTTGAAATTTAATATTTCTATAAATTTAACTCATATTTCATTCTTTTCCTCTAAAAAAACACTCTCTTTTTTTCATTAGTTTCATTTTATTATTATTTCAAGTTAACATGAATTCAAGACAATTTTTGCGTTTTGATGATTAGACCTTATATATATATATATTCCCATAGGTTATACATTTTTTTCCTAGCACAGGTACCCTCAATCTACTCGTCCAGGAAATTTGTTATATATATATATATATATATATATATATATATATATATATATATATATATATATATATATATATATATATATATAATTTAATCATGAATTTGCAATTAACAATTCAATTTTACACTTCTGAACGAAAAATACTATGATGTTAAGATCGTAAGGTTTTGGAGGGAGGGGATAAAAAAATTGATTTCATATTATTAATAGAAACTATTAATATTATTGTTTATTATGTGCTTACAACATGTTCCTTAGTAAACCTTCTTAGTTAGTGTGACGTTGGTCACTCTGCAACGGAGATGACATGAACCGAACCATCATTAACAGAAATAGGTTGCAATGTTCCTCGATGGAGTATCTCAGAAGGAACAAAATTTGCAACGGTTGCTAGTTCGTCAACAGCTTCACAAATATTCTCAACACAAACAACTAAACCAATTAGAAGTGATGCCACTGTAGCTGCTGGTATTATCTCCAGATGATCAGCTCCTTCCCACGGGTTTGTTCTAAGAACTGATTTAAGAGATTCAGCAGCATTTTTAGCATTCACCACATGGGGATTTGGCCTTGGTGACTTAGCCATCTGTTTAAGTAGCAGTGATGATTCCTTAAGGGCCTTCCCAGATTCCATGCTGATCTTTGTGCATGGCTCTTCAATCCTGCTTCGAAATTCATATGGGGTCTGTGGGCAAACACCAAAACAGTGTTAATTAACATATATATATATATATATATATATATATATATATATATATATATATATATATAAATGATCAGAAACATAAGTAGGTATTATTAAAAGAATTCACACTTGATGACCTAACTTGTGCACGTATACTTTGATAAAAATTGAATGACTTATTCCTAGTCATATTTTGGGTTATGTATATATAGATAATTTAAATGTGTTAAGGTTATTATTTATTAAGCCAAATAATAAAGTAATTTGATTAAATTAAATTTTTTTGACTAAAAACATGTCATGAAAATAAAATTGTATAAATACTATGTCATGAAAATAAAATTGTATAAATACTATAGAGCAATTTCTAATTTGATAGGGGTCAAATTAGAATTACTAAAACTTAAATAATTAACCTAATTCTAGTTATTTAAAGGGTTGTGATCTTTTTCTAGGAGCACATACATAACATAAATCTCAGTTTCAGTTCCTTTCTTTTTATCTTCATCAAATGAAAAAATTTAAAGGAAAAATAAATATGCTCTTCAGGTGGAAGACTATAAGATCAATAATACTCTACGCTTTCGTATTCCGTCTGTAACATGTTAATTATAAGTTCGGGATAATGTTTATGTTTGATGTTAGAATCAAAATCATAATTATAATTATTATTAGTTTTCCAACATTTATATCTTCAAAGTTACGTTTTTAGTTTGATTTACAGATATAATAAATCTGAGTTACTATGTCTATGGTTTCAAGTTATTGAGTGTGTGAAAGAATGGAAAAGCTATCAAAGGAAATCCAGAGAATTTGCAAAAGAAATGTGAAATACTGTACGTACTTGCTCAGAGAGGAGGAGCAAGACACTAAGAGCTTTAATTTTGTAAGCACACAACCGAATTTGGTTCCCAGTGTTTAAGTATTGCTTCCACGGGTGGCGAAATCTGAACCTGCCATGCCACGGTTCCCATCTTGCCAAAACAGCCTATGCATAATATTGCAGATTAACGTGATGAATATATATTGATGGGGTGGTATTAATCTTCTGGATAAAATAATTACGTGAGAAAACATAAATTTTTTGATGCTCACCATTGTTTCTTCACTAGATTTTGAAGAGAGGACACTTTCAAATCTGTGGAGAAATGACTTATCACCCTCAACTTCTGCTGTCTTCCCTATATTGTTGAAGTATTCATCTCCAAATCCTGTGGATAAAAATCATATTTTTAAGTTTTATCTAAGAAAAAAGTCATACATGTCTTTATCTTTGTTAAGGAGTGTCAATATATAACAAATATATGGATCTGAATCATGCAGCAAACACAATGGCCCCCCACATGCCAAAAGATCGTTTTCAAAGCCTGAAGCAATGATTCATGTGATAGAAAACACTCATTTTTGCACTGGTACCTTTTAATGTCCTTTTTTTAGTATAAAGAAGTGAAATTCAAATTTAGATATGTCCCTCCTCTTTCTTGCTAAAGAGAAAGCAAGATATTTTTGAAGATTTAGGTATGTCAATGAATATTGATAACTATCAGGTTTCATTGCACTCACTGTTAATTAAACCAGATTATTACCTTCTAAAAAGTCGGCGAGCTTTTCAACATTTGAAGCAATTTGATTGTGGAGATCCTGCCCAATCCAAACGGGGCAAATGCAAATACATACCATAATAGCTATACAACTCCCAATGACGATCGTTAATAACCTCTCTTGAGCAACTTTTAACACTTCCTTCTCATTACTTTCCGAAAGAGATACTAAACTAAAGGTCAATATAAATATAATCAACCCATAATCATATTTTGCCTTCAGTCGCGGGGAAAATCTCATAAATGTCACTGTTCCAGCTGTGAAATTAAACACTTCATGAATTAAGTAACGTCATGTCATTCTAAGAACTATCATTAATTAACTAATTAGCAATATAATTACCTATGAAAAACACAGAGACTGAAGTCATTACAACCTTACCCTTCTCCCCAGAAAAGCTAGCTATTTTACGGATTGCAACACCCAGAGCACCAGCAAACCCCGTTGCCAACACCCTGTTTAAACCTTTTCCAAGTGTTGCACCTGAAAAATGTTACAAAAGTATGCATTAATGAAAGGAATTCAATAATGATGAATATGAAAACAATGTCATAATTTCTATTCTGTATATGGATTTAACCATTTCGGTACCCTTGTACCTGTTAAACGTTTCTTTGCTGATATAAAAATCCAATGAAAGGAATCCTAAAATATGGTTACTCACCCACAGAAAATTCTAGGACAAGAACGACGGTGAGAACCGCCCACATTATGTTGTCACCAAAAGCATAGAAGGAGGGACGAAAATATTGCAAAATAGAGATCAAGACCAGTGCCAATCCGACCTTAAAAGAGTGAATAGTTCTTCTGGGGTCATCTCTTCCAAGTTTTATCACCATCTTTGTGAAGTTTACTAACATGGCTCGTGGCCCTGGATTCACCATTTTTCGTTGCTCTTTGGATGAACGACGTAAATGATAGATTGGAAATACAAAAGGAATACACGTTTTGGTATGGTAATTTCATATATATATATATATATATATATATATATATATATATATATATATATATATATATATAAGTGTTGTCTTGGAAAAGTACGTGCAAACAAAGGGACATTGTTAGAGGGACAAGCATGTTTCATGTAGTGATCTAGTTGTAGTGTGGTAAGAAATCTAAGTTTGATTCTTAGTCTCGTTAATGTCCCCAAAAAGTAAAGAGTATGTCTGGGTATTTCAACGAGAACACAAAAAAATCAAATTTAGTTTCACGTAAGATAGCCAAAGTACGATTGAGCAATCGATTTTCTTTCAATTTTAAATAATTTTTTTTTTTATTTTTAAACAATTCAGACATGATACCTATAATAAAATATTTATTTTTATTCATATTCCATTACTGGTTGAAAGTCTAACGTGAATGCACAAATTTTCATAGTGAACCCACGCCTTCACAAATTACAAACTATAACCTTTTACTCAGTTGAGACAACCTAACCTATTCATATGCCTATATATTTAAGATATCCACAAATATATTTTAACAATTTAATTTTTAAAAATAATCACTTCACAAATCGTTTTTAAATTTTTTATTATTATTAAATTATTGTTTCCGAAAATTAAAATGTGAAAAAATATGATTTATTAGGGCAGTAAAAACAACTTATGAGTTATTTCTTATTTTAAAATATAAGAAATAAGGATTTATGATATCACCTTTTTTAAATAATTCATCATTAATTTTACTTTATTAAAAATTGTCTTAATAAATTAAAAAAAATTCTTTTTATTGTTTTTTATTATAAATTATTTAATGAAGTAACTACAAAAAATTTAAATAACTTATTATATCACATCATATATGATTTCTCCGTTATTTCAAATAATTAGTATTTTACTTATACAATTCTTATCCTTGATGTACCTGAATAAGAGTACTTTTTATACATGCAAGTGTGTGACAGTAAAGCATATATATCACATGCGAATGCAAGATAAAAATAACATTGTCACACAAAATTAACTCATTCATGAACAATTAAATGTGACATTTGAATTAAATGTGACATTTGAATAGAGAGCTAGAAACAATATATATAAGTGCATATAAGAATACTTCTAGGTCGTCGTTTTCCTGTATGAACATTTGAATTGCATATTACAGCTAGCACATGTTATGCATTGGAATTTCATATCGTATAGTAAGTTATGCTTTTGAATCATATATATCTCCATAGTAAGAACCATATAAACTTGGAAAAGAGAGAGAGATTCAACAAAACTGTGCTGAAGCCAATAATTGAGGTCAAGAGACCCAAGTTGGTTAAATAAACGTGCGAGAGACGTACATAATAATCACATGTGAATTATGTTCTTCCGTCTTGTGTTTAATCAAGTGCTTTTAGCTGTTACAAACTAATGAATAGACTTGTTCATGATCATAAAGTGTTGTTACTAATCCAACATCCTTAATTAACGCCCTATTAACTTTACTCACCAACATGCGAGTCATCTGAAGCCGGCAATTTTCAACTTATTGTCAACTTCCATGGTTGAAATAAACAAATGAAATAATTTGCAGCAGACACAAAATATCAAGAACAATGACACAGAAATAGCTTTTTCTTTATTTAGAATTGCTAACATCAAAGTTAGCATGACGTAGAAGAAGACATGTAAATTATAACACCGAATTGGTGTTTCAGAAATCCATTGCTGAACTCACGGAAGAAAAAGAAAAAGAAGAAAATGCAGATCTCATCGTGTTAATTTCAATTACCGGCCAAATTAGTTGTTTATGGATTTTGACCCTGGTCCTGTTCTGTAGGCACAGTACAACGTTACAAGCTTATGTACATGAAATTTGAAGCATATACAATATTGTCTCAACACGAGAGAATCATCATAGTCAGTGTGAAATGGTTGATGCAATGTGTACGCATGATATGCCCTTTACCTTCCAATCACAATTTCCACGGAGAAATAGTGTCACTGCTGAATAGATATTTTATTCTTTTATCATGTTCAAGGTTTTTACTCTTTTTCTAGTTAATGGTTTTTGAAATTTGCCAACCAGAAAGAATTTGACTTGCGCTACTACCATGTTTTTTTAGTGAACATTGTTTCACGAATTATTTTTATTTTTAATTTTGAATATGAATTATTTTTTTCTACATCAATATAATTGTTTTTTTTAATATCTGTTTCACTTAAATTCATCTTTATATTATCTGCAGAGTAGAAATAATAACAACTGTGTCGTACAATCCGTAATTCTTTGACAAGGAAGCAAACATATATCTCCGTATGGTGAAATCTATATAAATTTCAAGGAGAGTGATACATATTAGTAAAATTTAATAATAAGTTAATTAGCTTTTAAAAGGATTTATGGGAATGTTTTGTAATAATTGAATGTTGAGATTGTTGATATTTTGGTCAGGCTGTGGTATGTGCATAAAGATCGAGTCTGGTTGGGCTCGGGTCCAACTGCATGAGTAAAGTAGGTCAAGATAAACCTATTTGGGAGATGGACTTGATTGATAACTAATGGGCCTAATGTGTAGATAGTACGGGAAATAAAATATTATTGGGCCCGATAGATGCGCCAGGAGAAAAACCCTAAAGGAAAATTTGATTATAAAGGGGAGGGAAAAAACCTAAAGGGAGGGCTCTCTTTTATTCCACAACAATTCCATTTATGAATGGTTTGAGATATGGCAAAGAATCAATAATATTTAGTTTGAAAAATTCTTTGTTATCAAATTGATATGAAAGCCATGTTTTTTTTAGAAGAATTAGGATTTTTCAGAAGAGTGAGAACTTAAGTTGAGTATTGAGTTTCTAAAAAAATTGAGATGACTAGTCTGAGTGTTGCTGCATTTGTACCCTAACTGACGAAGGATGCTAGTTACGATAGATGGAGTGCTCATATACAGGTTCTTCTCACAGCCTAAGATTGTTGGGATGTGGTAGAATATGACTATAAAGTACGAGAGATCACCACGGAAGGATTGTGGCCAACGCAGCCAAAGCAGTTAAGGATAAACGTTCAAAGAATAGTGGAACTCTGTTTTTGTTGTTTTGAGTTGTCGAAGATTATGATTTTGAGAAAATCGTAGAAATCAAGTCGACATTCGATGCGTAGACCGATCTGGAGAAGGAGCACAAGAAAGATGACCAAGTTATTCATGTTCAACATTAGATACTACGAAGCAAGATGAAGCACATGAAGATGAAGGGATCGGAAAAAGTTTCTGAATACGTTTTGCGTGTTGAAAACGTAGTGAAACAGTTCATTTAGAACAGAGAAATGTTTTCAATAGAATAAGTTATTGAAAAAAATTATTGAAAAAGTTTTGAGGTAATTAACAATAAAATAGTTGATCGGTTCTCTTTGAAGCTTATGAACATCGGATGAAGAAAAAGAAGGAAGACAAGGACTTGAGTGTGAAATTACTCCAGATCGAGGAGAAGACGCTTTATTCCCAAAAGAATAAATGAAGAGGATGAGGTCGTGATAGTCGATCCCAAGGTGGCCGATCTGGTTGAGGTGGATCTGATGGCTAAGGTGACGATAAGGGAGAAGGAGGTCAACAGAACTAGCAAGGAAAATGACGTGATTCAAAAGGAGGTTGATGACCAATCAAATGTTGAGTGTTTCAAATATGGCAGGTATGACCATTATCAAAATGACTGCTATTCAGGAGAATATTTCAATTGTGGAAAGGAGGATCATCTCATAAAAGACTGTCAAAAGGAAAGTGAGACCTATATTGCAGAAAAGAAGGAGAATGGAGTAACGTTGTTAATGGTCGATATAAATTCAGTCATTCACTTAGGAGCTGGTTACAATGATGGTGTTCGGGCCAATACCGAATTCTATGCGGTATGATATTTGGATACAGAGGCGAGTAATTACATGTGTGGTGATGAACATATCTTTAAAGAGTTAAATAAGGTGAATTCTAGTACTATTTCATTTTGAGACACTTCGAAAGTCTCGACGAAAGGTCGAGGAACTATCGATTATTTATAGAAGGATGGATTGATAAGGATGATTCAGCATGTGTATTTTGTTCCTGATCTCAAAAGTAACATTTTGAGTATGGGACAATTGATAGAAAAGGGGTACACAGTTTTCATGAAAGGTCGAGCACTAGTACAGAAAACACCTTTAACATCAGTTCTCAACAACTTTCTACATCGGTTATACAATCGATGTAGAAACTTGGTGAGTTTTAATATCGGTTAAGAACCGATGTAGAAAGTCTGACTTTCCACATCGATTCTAGGTCATAACCGATGTGGAAAATCAGACTTTTCGCATCGGTTATGACCTAGAACCGATGTGGAAAGTATAAAAAAAATGACTTTCTACATCGGTTCTAAGCCATAACCAATGTGGAAAGTCATATTTTTTTTTTTAAATACGAATTTTATTTTTTTATTTTTCAGAACCTGTATAGCATTTTAAATATCTACAACTAATGAGATTGCTAATCTATAAAGGAAATGCATCAACACACATGAGTAAACATAATGTATATTACATAATAACAAAAAGTGAGCATGTATTGTATTCTAAGCTTATATATACAAAGAAAATAGTCCTAATGTTTCACAATTAACTATTCGATCACGACTATAGTTCTTGATAACAAAATCTGCTCAAAGTCATCTAATGTCATCAATCTCTGCTTCACTTATTGGATGACCATCTTTGAATATCTACAAACAATAAAAAAAACATTTCAGATAAACACAAGTAGGCAAATATATGTCAATGACATAGATATAGTCATAACACATACCAAATTCCATGAATCTGTGATATTTGTTATGATGATAGTTAACATATGTCTCATCATATAATATCCTCACTCCCAACTTCCTTTTTGCTTATTACACTATAAGAAAAATAAGAAAAAAAAACATTA